CAAAAATGTAAGTTGATTTATTTAGCCGAGCTACTAAATGGCATCGTCTTGCCATTACATGCTTCTTCATTCGAAGATTTGTAAAATTTATAAATTGAAGATTGAGAATGTACGTTAGCGAGATTGAGTAGAACAGGTCGCTTAGGATCGTTTTCATAACACACATCAAAAGAGCCAAATTCTTCGATCTTTTTCGACAATCTTGCTGCATTTTCTTTGCTGTAATCTTCACAAAAAACCTACAGATAGCTTGATCACGAGTTATGTTCATCTGGTGTTGGAGTAAAGAGCAGATCAATTGTTTAGTTCTGAAGCTAGTTGAACCCGGTTCATTTTTTTACTGAACGCGGTTCATTTTTTCACTGAACGTGGTTCATTTTTTCACTGAACGTGGTTCATTTCTTTACTGAACCCGGTTCATTTTTTTACTGAACCCGGTTCACAACTTTCCCAAATATAAAAAAAAAAAAACTGCCCTTTGGCATTGGAACGACTGTATATTAGAAAGGTGTCTTATTATAACAATTAACAATTTGGCGCTTAGAATGATTACAGAAACCATTAAGGTCACTGATGAGTATATCATTACAAGCATTAGTAATTCTACTGGACAGATTTTCTTCATTCATTAGTCTGTCACGCTTCATCTTTCCTTTAACTATTGCCCAAAACTGTTCAATAGGGTTCAATTCAGGCGAGTAGGGAGGCAGATACGTTACTCTATAACCCTTACTTTCAATCTTTCTTATCATCGGCTTAGACTTATGAATAGAAGCATTATCTAGAACTATATAACTTCCTCTAAAAGCTTCTTCGGCATCCAGTACAGCAAGAACTTTGTTCATGAACTTAACGAAGTGAGCAGTTGTTTTACTGAATTATTATCAGCAGAAACGTCGTTAACCTCTGTATTCTCTCCACTAATTTCAGTTAGTGCTCTTTTTTTCCCTTTCTTTTTTTTTTAGCAGCCTCAATTTCTTTTTTTGGTGGTGGTTTTCTGATAGCAACGTGAATAATGCTAGAGGAGTGAATGGCACCAATGATTGTATGTGTTGGTGCTCTGGTTTGTGGTTGCTTTACGATGCCCTTTTTTCCACTTTTCGATCTGGCCCAATTGAGTTTCATGTTGATAAAAACCGCCAAAAACATCTGCCAATTAAATGCCAATTTTAGTTACCAACTTGTGCCAAAAATAATTTGACCTTATGACATTTATTTTTTAAAAGCCGATCAATTTTTTTTTTGACTTTCGGTCAATTATTTTTTAGAAAACGCCAATTTCCATAAGCCTGACTGTATCATGACATGCGACGCATGATATGTTTAACAAACATACGTTTATGCTAATGACAGGGTCCACATTTACTTTTATATCGCTTCATCTAACCATCAATAGAATTCGGAGTTGTCTCCTCACATTATACCCACATCTCTGTAAGGAAAAGTGTGATATGTTTGTATATAGTGTGTCCAAATGAGTTAAACTTCTTATGATTCTGTTTTATTTTATCGTACGATTTTATTTCGACAGCTTCTTCGTAACATCAATTAATAAAATGATCGAAAGAAAGCCAATTTTTCTGCAAATTAGTTTGCATTAGGCTTGTATTTCATTCCCTGTGTCCTTTCTTGTATTCTATGACATGTCCATAATCGTATACATGGCCGAAAAGACTATATTCCATATTCAAGCTAACTCCATGACAATTCTGTCGATCACTCTAGGTATAAATAAGTTTATCTTACTAATATGTGCTGAAATTTTACGTTTAGCTTTCGACTGCCCCCTGCTATTCCTCCAAAAACGACCTGTAACTGTGGTTCTGGCTCTTCCGCGATGCTCCACGTCTGTATGGATAAAAACAATTAATATACGAGCACACAGCTACTTGCAATAGCTCTCACTACTCAAAAGTACGCAGACCACAGCAAAACTGGATGCATTTGAGCTGCGATTTCTCGTGTTTGAAGCTGTTTTTGGGACAAAATAGCATCAAACAGCTGCTTTCATCTAGTACTAGCTTACAGTCATCTTTGCTCAATTTGGGGCCCAAAAAACATTGCTAAACACCTTGAGGGGTATGTCGTGGAAATTATCAAAAATCAAACGGTTGCGTTTTTGGCCCAAAAAATGAAGGCTTTTACTATGACATACGAATGTTTATGTTTTGGATGGCTCTCTACATTCGCTTCACTTCGGTAAGAGCCAGCCTGCGCAGCAGCAGCTCACGCTACCGGTTGCCCTGGCGTATCATTAAAATACTGCTACCTTCATTTTGACCCTCCACGTACACATGAAATCCCCTCATATTATCTGTGGATCTGATTCTTATGTGATGCTCTACATTCATATATACGAGCAAGCGGCATACTGGCACTTCCCTTTTTTAGTCCTAAGTGCCCCTGATACAACAAAATCTGAGTGTATTTGAGCTGCGTTTTCTTGCGTTCAAGGCCGTTTTGGATCGTCAGGATAGCACCAAACAATTGTTCTCATCTGGCAGTTACTTATTGCCACTATTGCTCAACTTTTTGGGGATCAAAAAAACATGACCAAAAATCGACCAAAAAGCATGAGGTACCCCTCATGGTTTTCATCGAAAATCAAACGATCGCGTTTTTCACCTTGAAAATGGAGACTTTTACTATGGTATATCTTGAATCAAAATGTTTCTATCGATCCAAAGCAACCTCTGAAATCATCTTTGTTGTTGTATTCAAAGATACAGTATTAACAAATTAAGATAGATTTCAAAAAAGGAAGACTATAAAAAGTAACCAGATACGAAAACTTCTGATTTATTAACTGATTCAAACACATCCTATTTATAAGAGATCATTACTGATGAATCATCAATCTATCTTGTTGTTTCAACTGAGTCAATACATCGTATCATGTTTATCTAATATCAGTCAATTGAAGGATCTGATTCGTTCAATCAGCCATGATGATACGATCTGTAGCCATCATTATCCTTCACTATCCGAGACCATCATAATCGATTATATGATTCACTTCTGTGTCGAACCTAATGTCCTAATGTAGACAGTGAGAAACAATGTAAATCATGATCCGACTCTTGCTGAGTTACTGAATGTCCGCAACCGCTACAGACTCAACATTTGTGGGACTTTGGTATGTAAAATTTCGACTTTTTGGCCAGAAACCTCTTTTCATATTTTTATAAATTGCTCAATAAGTTTATTCAAAACATCTATCTTTTTTAGTACTATTGGATGCGCCTTGAAGAGTACTCCAATAATGCATTAATAAGTATAGCATCATGAGCACATTTCTAATAGTCGAATAAGGCAAAAAAGATCAAATAAATCGTTTTATAATCAAAATCAACGAATCGAGACAGAATATATAGTGGAGATTTAATCAACAATTTTAGCTGGCAGCAGCAATATTGCTGTTACCATGAAGGCAATCAATGTTTGTTAAGCTAATGTAAAGGGGATTGCGAGCTAAAATAATATAAATTCTAGTAGGTTTACTTTATTTACAGCGTTTTTGTATGTTCTCTCTATTTGATAGGTTGAATTATTTCTGACTATCCATTTTATATGCGAAATTCAAAGCGACATGCACCATTGTCATTCTATTCTAGTTACGTATGGTATCTTGAGCTCAAAGTCTACTTTATCTTTTAAGAGCATTTTTCTAAGCCCCCCCCCCCTTTTTTTTTTGTCCATTGTGGTTTTTGATCGTTGAATGGCGATATTTCCATTGTGAGATGTTTGTATAGTGTTTGTGCTGGAGGATCCGGCATTTGATGTTGGATTCCTCGCTTTGCCATTGTTTGACTAGATATACATATTGATCCATAGACTCAAGCTATATAAAAGGATGTGAAGATTTGAGAAAATGCTGCATTCAGTCATCACTTCTCGAATGCACAAACAGGTTTGTACCAGACCCAACGGCCGTTGAAATAAAATCAGGTACGCAGGAAATGCAAGATCATTGTATTTCATCAGCATCTGTAGTGAAATGAGAGCATGTTGTTGATCTTGCTTTGATTGCAATCGATGCGTAACATATTGTCTTACTTTCAAGGCATCTTGCTACTGTTACATAACTTGAGAACCCTTGAAAGTTTGAGTCATAGATGAAAGGATATCGGAATGCGGCATTCTATGGTAGTACATTTCCAAATTCCACAGATAAAAACATCTGCAATCTCGTAGGCGGTATGCGCAAATCATGAGTGTCAATCTGCAACACTATTCACTCAAGCTCGATGCTAGCCTTTGCTGACAAGTGCAGCTAATAAAATATTTGACAGTATTATTCATTGGTATCTCATCTGTGTATAGTTTATAAGCGATTGAGATCATGCTGTGCCAGTTACCCCTATAGCCTAATTCCATGTGTCACACATGTCTTGGCTATATTAAACACATTTGCAATCTTCCTCCTTATTCATTGAATCGAATAAAACAATGAAATGAAACCAGTACTATAATTGATCCAGGCTGTTTGATCGATTCATTGGTTTGCAATCGAGATCAATTGACGAGTAGCCTATCAGAACGATTCGCACTGTGCCTATTTAAGATGCAAACCACTAATTTTTATTACATGGGCGTAAATAATCCATGAGCCTAGTTTTACTTACATGTTTATATTAACATGCAGAGAGAAGAACCAACAAACCATTCCCTGTGTAAAAAAAAAAAAAAAAAAAAAAAAAAAAAAAAAAAAAAAAAGAGCTTTGGAGGGGAAATTATGTAAAGAATCTTTGTACATTTATAGCATTTCTTTTTTTTTTTTTTTTTTTGTTTAATGCTCTCTTAAAGGCTAAATCATGCAATTTGTATGCACTTGATTGGACCTAATCCCTTTCTCTCAACCTACAAAAGGTCTAGAGATCACGTCACATGGTAGTGGGGAGAGAAGGGAGAACACAGACTACTTAAAAAGGTGCAACTTTTTTATCTTTTTCTCTCATCCTTTCTTGTTTTTGATTTTATGAAATTGCGCACTATCCAAGATGCTACGACCATCAAAGATATTTGTGCCGTTTCACCAGCTCCGGCATTACATTGAAGCAAGGATATCAGAGCTGGTGGTCATAAAGCAGCCGCCACACATGAACCATCAGCCGGCTATTAAACGATTTATTACAACGACTACGCAACAGCAGCAGCAACAATCTATCGCATTCTTCTCTGACTTGCAGCGATCTCTTGTTCAGAAAGCTTATCTTCAACAATCACCACCATTCATCAAGCGAAATGCCGCCAATCAAAAGCTACTCCTCAAAGTGATTCAGCATCATTTTCCTGTCGTTAAGGTGTTTTCTGCACCTTCACTTCATGGACGAATGTGGGCTACCGCTGCGTCCGGTAATGGACAACAGCAATTCCGTACAATGATGTCTGGCACCTCGACATCCGGCGGTACTTGCACTGCTTCATCCTTTATGACATGGGGATTCCCAAGAACAACAGCTGCCACCGTTGGTTTTGGCCGTAGCCCAGCGTTTGCTCGGCAGTTTTCAACCACCAAATCACCCTCTTGTGTCACATTGTTCCAAAACACAACAACAAACACCACTTCAGGACAATCTAATGTATTTGCCCATATCTCATCCCGCATCTTTTCACCTGCTGGCACCAAGATGAACCAGCCTGATTTGAATGAAAAGCAGCCAAAATATGCCTCATTTCACCCTGCTTCCTCTGTTTCCTCGTACGATAGCGACCAAGAGTCATCATCCTCATTGAGCAAAAGCCGTCTCTTTGCTGTGCAGACCAAAGGAATGGGTGAATTAGTGGATCAAACTGAAAACAACGACCAAGAATGCTTTGTCCATGCCAACTTGGTGCGCCGTGAATCTGTCTCTTCTTGCAGAAGCAGATCATCCAAACAAAAGCTCACTAAAAAGCACACCAGCACCACCACCATCAATTACGATGACCTGGAGTCCATCATTCGCCATGACGATCTCTCTTCGTTGTACACCACCGATAACAGCATGTCAAGCAAGTCGTCTACTCTATCCAAACGCTCAAATAGCAGTAGCAGTAGGCCACATTATTTGAAACATCAACGACTAAAGCATCCGCCTGATCAGCAGCACCACGTGAGAAGACAAGATGACCATCCATTGACCACAGTGAAAAATGGAGGAGTAACGAAAAAGAAATCACCATCTCTCTCGACATCCATCTCATCCACCAATACGTATTTGTTGATCACGTTGGATACATTGCAGTTTCTGGACAAGAGAAAGGAATGGTCGACGCAGAGTCTCAGTACACCCTTCATCGATTCCATTGAGCTGATGGCGTATGATTACCAGGTACACATCAATTATGTATTGAAGCTGTTGGATACTTTGCAGAAACACGGCAAATTTCGAGTAGTTGCTCGTAAAAGCGAATTGCGCATCTACTTTCCTGTTCCTCCCAAGTCCAAACAAGAAGCAATTGAATTTTTACGCTCGTTCAATATTGTAGATTCCATGCTGAACTATTTCACTATTGTTGTAGAAGATCGTCAATTTATGCTTTCGCCTAGCGACTACAATGACGATTATTTCTCTTTTGTTCCTTCTTCAGCAGCAACAACAGTAAATGATACTATTCACACCAACACAACAGACGCTACCATTGGGCCTGACTACTTTAAGGATCTACAGATGTTTCTGGATCGCACTGATTATTTGATTGAAACGAGCCCTGCTTTTCGCTCATCATCCTAATCACTTTATTATCATTTAACGTTCATTTACAAGATGTTTACTTTCATTTATCCATGTTCGTCACTGTCTAATACAAACTTACTCTATACTAGTTTACTTTATCTATTAACGTCACATGTATACAATAAATCAGGATTTATATATGATAACACCAAGCATTCAGGGGCACACATGTTGGGTCTTGTATATCGAGAGATGTAGTAATCAGATCAAAGAGCATAATAGTTGATCATTTATTATGTGTATAAACAGTTTAAGGTTGTATCATTGGAATTTTACAAGGTGCAACTGCTGCACTCCTGGGTAGATTAATTTCTGGATATCATGTTACAGCCGTATGTATATCTATTGGCGTAGAAGCGCAAGGACGCCAGGTAGTGGAACTATGCATTGTGAGTACAGCTGATCAAAAAAAAAAATAGCCATTGTATACACTTACAAATATACCCAAGCATACAAATACATGCCAGATAGCATGACTTGTTAGACCAGCGAAATCAAACCTTCCTGGAAAGAATTTCTCAGGAAACCTGTTTGCATCTATTTATATACCCAATTTAATCAAATATACCCCAAAAAAAAAACCCCCCCGCCCAACATGGCATACTTACAAACAATGACACCAAGGATATACATGGCAACACTCACTGCAGCCAATTCAAAAAAGTGCCATGTCGATTTGAATCCATTGAGATAGGCCAAATGAAACACAGGTACGGCACTCGATACGGCCATCGACACAAACACGGCAATGCGGAGCGGACGCAGCGCTTTTGTGTCCCATTTCGGTAAAAAGGGTGCCAACACACCAATACTCCCCACAATCGTAGTGAATACCATATACCGACTCTTCATCATGGGTCTACAATAATATCCGTAGTATTCTGTCACGAGAACGGATGCAGTAATCAGGAATGATATCCCCATATAGTCCAGTGTGGCTGTAAATGATTTCACCTGTCGATGCGAATGGCATATGAATGTGTGGTATATTGATGAGCAGAACAAGCATTTCAATGCTGCTATGCAAAACGTCATGAATACGGTTCGATCGTTGAATGTTGCATCTGGAAAATGGCTCTAATAGATCAATACTTGTCAGAATGTGTAAAGTTCCATATGGCTCTGACGACATACATTAAATCCGTAGATGCTGAGACAGCTCATGAATATAAAGCCAAGCAAATGGCTCCAAATGTTCATGGTTTCATTGTGAAGCATGAAGATGGATCGAAGGCATGCATTGCTGCTCTGATAGAATCGGTACCTAGTGGATTATGAGATGAGTAATTCAGTTGATTATTAAACGGGGAAATTTTGAATAAGCGAAGGATAGAGAGGGGAGGAGGGCCAATGCACACATACCCAGTCAATACATATTCATTCTCTTGCCACTCTCTAGGCAGTTCATGGAATTGCAGTAGTCTCTGTGCTCCCACCATGGCTGCCTTTGCGTTATCCCAAGTGTCATGGACCTGATCATCCACGTATTGCAGAAATCCCGTTGAGTCTGCTTGTTCTATTGCCTTAAATTTCTCGCTGATTGTGTCTGTGATGGACTGAGATCGACCTCGTTTTTGACATTTAGGTGATGAAGGTGGCCTTTGCTTTCTATGGCGATTTGTTGATTTCATGATCTTTGGCAAAGAAAAAAAAAAGAGGGAAAGAAAGCAAATCGAATCTCAATTTAGATGAAAGAAACCTTGATTTAATCCATTACTACCATCGTCTATTGTTATACCACCTTGGCCAATCGGACATGGATGCAGAAACAGTCCAGGTGAGTTCACCCAGTTTTTGAGTAGTAAAGGGCTCATCACATGAAAAGATGTGCCAGTGTCCCTGAATCGTTGGTATTGTGAATGATATTGTTGTTGGCTAAACAATATGCTGAAAATGTTTGGAGCTGGCATGACGCAATGAGTCGAATGGCACTCTCCTGGAATTATAGAAATGTGGCCATATTAAGAGAGAATGGTTTGCGGTATTGTTTTCGCCTTGATTATATATTAGCTTCCAATGTGTTGTTGTAAATCAAGTTCCCATGAGTTATTCAGCCGCACTTTGATGTATGGAAGCCTGAATCCAAACATATAGCACTTTTTTTTGCTGTAAATTGACACATTGGATAATTCATTACATCAATTATACCATGCTTGTCTAAATCAGTGACAAAAACATCATCATTCACTAACATGTGTTTGCAGTAGCATATACAAAAGCAGCCTAGTCCGCTTAGATGTTTTGGATTCTGCTAATTTCAAAGTAAACATCTAGTTATCATCTGACTCGCTTCAACTTCATCATAGAAACCGTTTTTGCCACGAACGTGGTATATTTGCTGGATCAAACAGTTGATTAGGTAGTAATTTACGCAGGAAACAAAGCCTAAAGCGCAACTCGTAGCTATTACCATGTAAAAAAAATACAAATGCTACGTGAGTCCGAGAATAGACATACTTGATTATCTCTAATTTTAGCCATTGGTTACATCAGAAGGAAATTATTCCATTCAGGTTTTCATAAACGTAACTATAACTACTTGCTATTTCTTGATCAAAATTACTCAAAATATTACTGGGAGTGAGATACTTGCATGTAAAAGACGGAAACAATTGATTGAGCAGTATATTGATAATAAAGCTTTAATTTACTCGCGTTAACAACTATCAACATAAAATTGTTGAAAAAGAAGCTCATATCTCACATCTTAGCAGATGGTTGGTTAGTTGACAATCCTCATCATTCTCATATCGTAAGAGAATTGCGAATGAGAAAGATCTTCCCTTTGCAGATCAGAAATTAGCAGGATATTGTAAAACCAACTTTAAAAGAAACATGTGTAATCATCGCTCAATTGGCTGGGCAAGTATACCTTGGATCTCGAGCGTGGTTGAAGGCTTCGATAGATCTCTGATTTGCATAGTTTAAACATTGCATGCGAATCAATTTTGAATCAAGTATCTCACCACGACAGATGATAGCTACTGCTACAGCAGCACTAGCTTACCAGACAGGTACGTTGATTATGTTGAATTTGTGAATATTTTACGTTTTGGCAATCTACGTCTCAAAGTATCGTAGAAAAAATAGGAAAAAAGCTTGAATAGAGATAGTAAATTAGTCAAAGCAGATTCGTCTATAGAAATGAGCACCAGGTTTATAGTTGTCCAACTAGTAAAGAATATAGAAATAAAGTGATAAAAGTAAATAAAGTACAATGAATCGAGGTGTTAATGTATACAAAGGATTCAAGGGATCTTATAATTGATATGTTCAATGAAATAACAAAGACAATGAACTATAGGGTTATATGGATATGGATTTAAGTAGGAATAATATTCTATTTTATTGTTTGATATCATTTGAATATTTATATTAAATTGATTCTATGGATTATGTTTCCTGAATTCTGTTTCTATATGATATAATTTGTAATGAAGGGCTGATCCTTCTATAATTGATTTTGATACACTTAGTAATCCTAAAAGCTTGAACGATTTTTATAGCTGGAAAGCTATATTTGTTGTTGAAAGATGGTGAATGTTGATATTCATAATGTTACTGGAAGATGAAAGGTTGGATAATGTGGAGTTGCTTCCCATTTGTGTGCTTCCATTAGTAAAGAGAGATGTTTGAGAGTTTGAGTTGACATTTGTCAAAATAACACGAGACTGAGTGGTAACTGATTTGTCATTCTTGAGATAGGGTTCAGAGTATATTCGAATATAGGAAGCATTTAAGAGTTTAATGTCAAATTGTAATAACGGAGTAGGATCCAATATAGTAAGCAGTGAAGCGTAGTTTATTCGATAGTGTAGGCAATTTACAGCAAAAAGAGAGATTCAGTTACAAAACCAAAGTCGATTTGTAACTGTATAAAAGAGACAAGCAGGTTTCCAAAACATGAAATTCTAAAAAAAAAAAGGACTAGGTACACTATGTACCATAACAAAAGTAAAATGTTCCCCAACGGGGAGTCGAACCCCGGCCGTATCGGTGAAAGCGATAAATCCTAGCCGTTGGACCATTGAGGAGGAGATACTATCGACTCTACGCGTGTAGATATCAGCAGTATTTATACTTTTTCGGAAAAACCTCTTGCCATTCAGCCGCATTTTTAGCCGCTTAATCACCCCAACCATCTCAATCTTTCGCTTTTCCGAATGCCAGGTTCGCCGATCCCGCCGAATCTAAACTCTGCTCCACCGAGTTCTACCGGTGCAGCACAATCCATCGAGGCACCATCCTCCGATTGGACCTCCACTATGATCACCACCTCTGGATCTGCCTCAGCTTCTACCAATGCATCCACCTCCACCTCCAATAAGCGCCGCCGCGATTCAATGCAGCAAGACATTGCCGGCCGTGATTATTACAATAACTTGAAGCAATCAGAGTTGATTGATCTGGTAGTCAAGCTCCAAGAACAGAATCTGATTCTCACCCGTTTACTGGAACGATCCACCCTCACTGCTGCTACCAATAATACCTCTGCTGCCTCAGCCACTCGTCTGAATCTTACTCCAAATGTCAGCTTCACACGTACCAAATCTGGATCTGCTGCATCTCGTTATGCATCGGAAAAGGATTTCCCAACCTTGAATTCAGGTACCAAAAAGGGATCTGCCAATGCCAAACCTACTGCCAACTCTGCCACCACTACTGCCAACTCCAAGAAGAGCTCTGGTTCTAACAAGAAAACTTCCAAGAAGTCTTCTTCTAAAGCCAAAGTCCCCTCTGATGCTGCTGAAGCCAAGAAATGGGCTTTACGTCTATTTTCTACTCCTACTGCTGCTGACACAACTGATGGTGATGATATGCAAATGTCTTCCTCCTCTAATACTGCCACTTCAACTCTGCCTCCTCCTGGTTATACTTGTGTCTACCTTCCTTGTAGCCACAAAACCAAGCACGCCGATCTTCGCACTCGTTTAGAGTTGCTCAAAATCAACCTCAAACGTGTATATGCCATCCAACGTCCTGCCAAGCATGTTGTCTCTCTTCTGGTACACTCCCACTATGCTACTGAAATTCTTAAGATCTGTGAAAAGGACGAACTTTATCCCATCACTGATTTCAATCCTATCTCTGGTAAAAATCTGGGTGATCCCCATCTTTTGAAGACTTTTAATGCTCAACAACTGGATGATAAAGCTAAGGCCATCTACTACAACCGCATGCTCCAAGCTGCTACTCAACTTCGTGAATCCCGTATGGGTCTGATCATCCTCAAGTTCTTCAATGCCCTTGACAGTGCTGACAATCACTTTGTCCCGCCTGTCATTATTGATGAGTTCATCAAGCTGAAGCCTGATTGCGTTCGCAAAATCGGCGCTGCCAACACTGCTCGCTCTGTTCTCAAAGGCTTTGATGCCTCCAACTTGTTTGCCTCTCTTACTACCTCCACCAACAATGCCGATGCCAGCATTTCTCAACCTGGTTCAAATCCTCCACCTCTGACTGCTGCTAGTAACGCTGGCTCCAGCCCCATGGATACGAATCAATGATTGTAGACTCACAACCTACTCTTAACCTTGCAATGCTTAATGTTTCTGGTATCTCTACATCCTTGGATTTAGTGATACACTATATAGAAACACATCACATCGACATTTTACTACTCACGGAAACCTTCTTGCTCAAAGGCGATCTATTCACTCAATGGGCTCAACATCATCAATATGCTACCATCTCAGGTGATGCGTCCAAAGGCAATGGTGGTTTGACATTTCTAATTCGACCTCATTTTCCTCACTATGTTCACCGTAGCACTGATCCAACAACCACACAACACAACAAGCTCAGTATCGTGATTGGTAACTCGCTTACTGTCCATGGCTTCTATTTACCACCAGCGCTATCCTTTGCAGACTATCAAACTGTATTGGGTAGTGTTGACTTCAACTCTTCATCGTCAGTTATTTGTCTTGGTGATTTCAACACTCGTCTTGGCTCATTCACTGGTGATACTCGTAGTACGAACCCTCGTAGCAACTATCTCCTCAATTGGCTTACAGTCTATCAGGCTAATCTCTGGAATCGTATTTCTACATTTGGACAACCTACATTTGAGTCTAATCGAGGCACAAGCATCATTGATTTCGTGATTTCACGCCCCAATATATTCTCGGCTAATCCCTTGTTATCTATTGAAAGTGATATCAATCTCAACTCGGATCATCACCTTGTGCAATTCTCGTTTAAGCTACACCAACAACCTCAACTCCTCCCAACATCGACTTTGGCTGGCAACCGTCGTCTTTGGAACTTGCAACGTTTGGAAGAAAAAGACGTATTTGAATTATATCGCAAAAATTTCTTTTCCAACATTTTCAAACTGCAACAAGAGGTCAAGCACTTTATGGCTTTTCAACAACAGCAACACCCCAATTTGTTTGTGCTCTCTGGTGACACAGCAACTAAGCATCGGAAGGAGGCTACTATCAATCAACGGATCAATGCTACTAATGGTTTCTATTTCGAGGTTGTGGAATCTCCCAAGGATTTCATTAACCGTGTTGGCATCGAAATGATCCAAGCGATCCACTCAGCACTTGATAATTCAGTAACACCAAGAACACCTAGGCCTAAAACCTGGAAATTCTTTTGGGATGCAGAATTACAACATTTGGCTGATATTAGACAACAATGCTACACTGATTGGAAACAACACAAGCACCACAGAAGATCATTGATTGGCTCAACACACCTCTGGTCTCTCTATCAACAAGCTTGCAACAACCTCAAGAAGGCTATCAAGGCTGCTAAACGAAGACATTGGAAGAAATTTTGTAATGACATGAGTGATTCCTCTTCAAATCAGGTGTATTCCGTTCTAAAACGCTTAAGAAAGAAACACACTACTAATCATTGTTTTTCGCATAGTGAAGGACCTGAAGTAGCTGCAAATGTAATGGCAGATTATCAAAGACACATTTTTGGGGGAGATCAATTGGATTTTTCAACATGGAGAGCCAGCAGATCACCACTCCACCAGCACACCACTAAACCAACATTCTTTTCTGCTTCAGCAATCAAGCAACAACTATCAGCAATGGGTAATCGTAAGGCACCTGGAGATGATCATATTGTAAAGGAGATGCTCATGCCTATATGGTATCCTCTTTGTAATTTCCTCTCTGAGTTCTTTACTTTGTGCTATACATTTGCCTGGACACCTGCCTCTTTTCGATCTGGTCTTATTGTCCCTATCTTCAAGAAGGGTGATCCCAACTCAGCTGCAAACTATAGGCCCATCAGCCTCACCAACACTTTCAGAAAGCTCTATGAACGATGTCTCAAATTCTGTCTTTTGACCCACATGCCGTCTCTTGATGTTGCTCAAGGTGGCTTTCGAGCCGCTCGCAGTGGAATCAGTCAAGCATGGAATCTCTTGGCTTTACAAAAGCAATTTGAGCAGCAATACGGTGTCTCACCAGCACTCATCTTTATGGATATCAGCAAAGCATATGACAGTGTCACTCGATCCAAGATCTGGCAACTACTTCATCCTCATCTACCAAAGGCTCTGTTTTACACCCTGCGGCATCTTTTTGATCATGTCACTCTCAATGTAGTCATTAACAATGCTACATCACTGCCAATCCATCCAAAGCGTGGTTTGCTCCAAGGCTCCATCTTGTCTCCATTTTTGTATGCCATCTTTATCAATCAACTGCCTGCTCTGTTGCGTACTGCGCCTGTACGTTTTCCACTCTATGTGGATATCGCTACTCGTGCTCGTACTGATGGTGATGGTCCTTCAGCTGACATTACTGAACCTAGTTTTGCTCTTGTGAAATACGGTGCAGGTCCACGTTTGTCTGAAACTGCCAGCAGCTGCTCTCCTCGTCTTGGTATTGTTCGTCAAAAAACAGCTATCCACTCTCTCTTGTATGCTGATGATGTCTGTCTTATTGCCCATCGTCGTGATATGCCGTTACTGGTTCAACTGTGTGAGGAGTACTCGTTGCGATTTGATTTCAAGTGGAGTCCAACCAAGTGTGCTCTTGTCAACTATCACTCTAGGCGTAGGCCTATTCAATTGTATGGTATCAATGTCCCTATTGTTCCTAGCTATGAGTATCTCGGCGTGCCCTTCAATGCCTCTGGTATTGATAACATTGCGTTCCTCAATGCTAGCACAAAGAAGGCCAAGTCTACCATGGCTCTCTTTCGTCGTCTTGGTGTCCATCAGTATGGCTTTGGTCTCATGTTGGCACTTCAAGTGTATCGGGTGTTTGTACGCCCCATCATGGAATATGCTCTTGCTCTTCTTGGTCTGAATGCTACTTCTGCTATGGCTATTGATCGCACTCAAGCTAGCTGTCTGAAAATGACTCTCAATCAATCTGAACGGCACAACGCCCCGTCCATGGTTCTCAATATGATGGGCAATCTGCCTACCATGTATACTCGTGCCCAGATCTTGACTTTCAAGTTTTGGTATTCGCTTCAGTTGAAAGCTCGTCCTTTTACTTTGATGGAATGCATCCTGTATACGCATCAGCGTCTTAAAATTGCTCCTGCTCTGTGGCGTCGTCTTAGCTCCAACAAGATCTGGAAGTTGTACAAATCGTCCCCCACTCACACCACTCCCCGTCTCATCTGTGAAGAGTTTCAAGATGCTCAAATGTTGAGATGGACTAGTCAAAAATCATCGTGTTTGCGTGCTCTGCGTGAAGACACAACTGGATATGACCCTCTCTTGTTTTATCCGTGTACTCGGTTGGAGCGATTGCGTCTGATTCGATGGCGTTTTCATCATCTCCCAAGTTTCCCTCTCTCAGCTTGTCGTTGTGGCGCACCTAGTGCAAATAGATTTCGTTATCTAGCCGCCTGTCCTCTGGTTCAAAACATTGTCAACCGCATCCATCTCAATCTGCCTGATGACTCCATTCCTTTGGATGAATCCTATGATGACCAAGGTATCGCTACCACTCATATTCTGGATCGTATTCTGAATTCGCTACCTTCTAATCTGTCTTTCTGTCTGGGCACACACTGGGAGAGAACTTGGCCTCTTGTTCTTGAGCTGATTACTCAAATTGACATTGCAAACCATCCTGCTGGATCTTTTGCTGAGGAACCTCCTTCTGGAGAGCTTTTTGAACATTATTTGACTCAACAACATCACTTTCAACAACAGCAACGACAGCAACAGCAGCAACAACTCATTCAACATCTACAACATTGATCTTCTCCTTAAATTTACGCTTTGTATATGATGTCTAACACATTCTGTAGTCTATTTTTTGGAAATTCGCTCCCTGTGATTCTCATTGAGAGGTTGGGTGTTTTGATCCTACTTGTTTATGATATGTTTCGCTCGAGATGTTGAAGTTTCATGATTGGAAATTACTCTATTTTCAACCCTTGTTCTTTTATTAGGTGGTCGTGCTCTACCTTGTTTGTAGTACAAACCCTATTTTGGCTATTTCTTTGTTTCAGATCAAAGATATATCTTTCAATTTCTTTTTTTGGGTGTGCTCTACCCCACATTTTACACAACTTTATTTTGACATTTCTTTACTTTTTGGATGCAATTTTTCACTTCTCTACTAGTGTTTTTTTTTCATTGCTCCACCTTTTCAACTCAATTATCTTTAATTACTGGGATGGCCATTGTATTGCCCTACAGGGACGAAGCCTAAAATCCTCTCTTTTATAATAAATTAACATTTAAACTGGACCATTGAGGAGGAGATACTATCTGTCAGATGCGAATACGTAGAAATAGTATATGCAATCTGAGATCTGATCGAGATAGATATAGATATAGATGTAGGGATTATGCAGGAATGTATATAGCCTTTTAGTTGAATGGATAAAAAGGTACTTTATTAATATTAGATTTGAACATTGATTTTATCCAATATAGTTTGTGTAATGTTGTGCGCTATCCAGGTTAATCGCTGTTTAATGTTCCTGGTAGCTGGCGCTCTAGGTTTAAACCTGCGCTTCTTATTCTTGTTTGTGTTTAGTCTGTCAATGATATCCTGCAGATCTAAATCACTGTCAGAATACCCTTCAACCCTGACATCACCCCCCTTCGAGACAAATGTTCGACCCTGAACATCACTTGAACTTGATGAACCAGTGGCAGTGTTTGGCATGTGAGAAGAGAGATCGACGTTTTTTGCAGGTTGGGTGGTCTCATTTTGCGTGTGAATCTTTGGAATGGCAGGAGTTTTGAAGACAAAAGTACTTTTTGGTGGCCCAGGACGAGAAGTAAGTACAATGGGGGTTTGGTTTGTATCAGTAGGAGGGAAAAAATTCACAATAGTAGTGGAATCAGGTTCTGGCGTAGCTTGACTAACAGAAGGCGGGCTAGCAGGAGGAACAACATGAGGTTCATTTCGAAGATCTGGCACCATATCTGTATTTTCTGGCTCTGACACACGTTCATCCAGTTCGAGATCTGTATCCACACTAACTGTTTCGTTGATTGCGGCGTCATCACTTGTATTTGACACTGTAGATTGTGATGACATATAAGACGATGTTGTAGAGAATGACGATGATGGAACCATGACTGGTGGTGGAGATGGTGCTGATGGTTGATCTGGAATTTCAATATCGCTATCAGCCAACGACGAAAAATCGTATCCATCCGTAATCTGATCCAATCCATGCTCGTTGTCCTCGATTTCATCCATCACACTGCTGCCATGTAGAGAACTATCCTCGTCTGATATCTGTTGCTGTGCGACTATATGATGATACTGAGTGTTGTTTGGTGATTCCGTTGTAGTGGTGGTAATGGCGGTAGTAGGTGGTGTAGTTGAACTGTGTGTTGGTGTGCTGTGAATTGGGACAGGCATATCGATAAAATCATCTTGAGGCTGATTCAGACCTAGATTTGAGGGAAAACCCGGTGTTGATGATGAGGCAGTAGTGGTAGTAGTGCCATTGGGATCAATGGAATTGGTGTTTGAATCAATACGAAGACGATCAGCTTCACGAACCGCACGACGACTAGAAGTAGGATCATACCATGGCTCTGTTGGTTTGTCACCTTTTGCTGCTTTCAATCTGTCCACATGCACCAATGATTGCAATGGTTCACCAGTAACAGTCTCTAGTTGATAAGTACCAAAGTCAGGGAACACCTTTGTCACTATGTAGGGTCCTTTATAGCGAGGTTCCAAACCAAATTTGCCTTCATGAGTTAGCATAACCATGTCACCAATTTCGAAATTTGTAGGCTTGATCTTGGCATCCCAACGTTTCTTGTCAGCTTCCCCCATGGCTTTCAAACGGAATTCTGCAGCAGCACGATGTTGACCAAGTAATTCTAGTTCACGCGAGGTCAGGTCAGCTACAGTGCGTTTATTCAACAGCATTTCTTTGGTAATATATGGCCTCAAAATATCACCAGGCAGTCTAGGTTCGCGTCCGTACACCAGATAATAGGGTGAAAAACCAGTTGTTGAGTGCACTCGAATTCGACTTGCCCACAAAGCCGCATGTACAAAATCATCCCAGCGATGAATAGCACCATTGACGTACTTACGAAGCATTTGCTTGATCACGCCATTGTATCGTTCAACTTTGGAGTTGGTGCGAGGGTGGAATGCCGAGGTCAGCTTGTGGTTTGTTCCAACACGCTTGGTATAAGCTGCTACAAGGCCACTAGTAAAGTTGGCACCTCGATCCGTCACAATTTCAGAGGGACAGCCAAATCGCATGACAATCTCCTCATAGATGAAATCCGCTACCGCTTCCGTAGATGCTACAGGTACTGATCTTGCGATAGGCCAGTTTGTGAGGTAATCCACAGCCGTCAACAACCATTTGTTTCCATTTCCAGTTGTAGGCAATTCACCCACAAAATCCAAATGCCAACGATCAAAAGCTTGAGGTATTTGTAGAGGGTGCATGACATCTTGATGAACATGATCACGACGACTATTCAGCTGACAAGCAGTACAAGTTTTCAACCAGTCTAGAATATCCTTTCGCAAACCTGGCCACCAGTACCTTTCCGTGAGCATTTTCAGCATAGTCTTGATACCAGCATGCCCAAAAGCTTCATGATACTTGAACACTAAATCAGCACGATCCGAAAATGGGATGAATTTGACTTGCTTCACTGATCCCTCCTCGGTCTTTATTAATCTATATACTGTCCTTTGACGTACTACAAACTGATCCTCTTCCTTTTCCATGCGCTTCCTCAACACATCTGATTTCATCTTCTCATAGTTCTTGTTGACGTACAATATTGGCCAGTCCGATTTGATGGTGTCAGATAGCTGACCCCAAGCAGCATACAAGTATTCAGGTGCCAAAGAAGGAATATCCTCACCATTGTCCACAAGCAAATCTGGCTTTCTTGAGAGAGCATCGGCCACCTGGTTGTCCTTTCCGGCTTTGTATTCAATGTTCGGTGAGAATGCTTCATAGTCTGCAATCCAGCGAACAAGACGGGGTGTGGGGTTCAGTTGAGATTTGAAGTAGATCAGAGGCTTGTGATCACTATACACAGTATAACCACCTTGACAGCCATCAACAAAACAACGCCAAGTTCTCAAAGCATGAATAATAGCAATCAGTTCACGTTCTTGGGCAGGCAATTTCTGTTCAGCCGGAGACAATTTCTTTGATTCATACGCAATTGGCAACCAAGCAGAAGAATCAGAATCCTCTTGTAAGAGCACTGCGCCTACTCCAAAATCACTCGAGTCAGTTTCAATACGGTATGGCTTGCGCATGTCAGGTAGTTTCAATAAAGGAGATGATGTTAGCATTTGCTTGATGGCTTTGAAACTAACTTCACATTGATCATTCCAGACAATAGCGCGCTTCTTAGCACCATTACCATGGGTTAATTCAGTAAGAGGGGCAGCCACAGAAGAGAAATTCGGGCAGAAACGGCGATAATGCTGTGCTAATCCAACAAATTGACGCACCTCTTGAACATTGGTAGGTCGTGGCCAGTCTTGAATAGCTTTCACTTTTGACGAAGATGGCAAGATGCCGTTTGCCGAGACCTTGTAACCCAAGAATTCCAGTTCACGCTTACCAAACTCACACTTTTTCAGGTTGACAATGAGCCCTTCCTTTTCAAAGATGGATAATACTTGACGAACATGCTTGATATGGTCTTCTTTCGTTTTGCTAAAGATACAGCAGTCGTCCAAGTAAACCAGGGCGAACTTGTCAATGCAATCCTTTAAAACTCCGTTCATCCAAGTTTGGTAACTGGGTGGGGCATTTGAAAGCCCGAAAGGCAGCACAAGCCATTCCCATTTACCATATCGGGTATTAAATCCAGTAAGTGGGATATCAGAGTCTTTTAGCCTAATTTGGTGGTAGCCTGAACGAAGATCCAGGCAAGTGAACCAAGAAGCACCTTGCAAACGATCCAGACATTCGTCTATACGAGGTAGAGGAGTAGAATTACGGATAGTAACCTTGTTCAGCGCACGGTAGTCAATACACATTCTCATTTCACCATTTTTCTTCTTGACGAACAATACAGGAGCACCCCATGGTGACGACGATGGTCGAATGAGGCCCAGAGATTGCAATTCGGTCAGTTGACGCTGTAATTCATCAAGTTCAGCTGGACTCATACGAAAAGGAGGTCTATTGATGGGATTGACACCTTCAGGGACGTTGATCACATGCGAGAAATTTTGTCTGTTGGGTGGTAGGCCAGGTAATTTGTCTTGAAAAACCGTTGGAAAATCCTTCATCAGTTGATCTGTCCATACCACGTTCTCTTGAATAATTCCAGTGCTTGCGCCATCCTTCTCTCCTTTATCCATCATGTACAAGAAACATGCATTTGTGCCTTCCTCCTTCAACATTTTTTCTGCTTGAAGATGAGATACCAGATAGTTTAGTTCAGGCGGTTGTTGAGTTGGTGTGCTTGCCACACAGGAAGACGACGTAGGTGAGATAGTGGTTTTACCAGAACCACAACAAGACAAGGTCCATGTATCATCAAACCAATCTGCAACAGGTTTGTGTTCCTTGAGCCAGGATCTACCAAGAATGACATCAAACTTTGTATCAAAGACGAATGCTGACATTGGACTTGTATGACCTTGCAAATTCAAATCGTAGACAATCTTTTCATTGATAGGAGATACATTCCCACCTGCAGTTTCAACCTCTCTACCGTGGATCACGCTACGATGGCCCTCAATCATCCTTGCAATTCTGCTTGAGATATAGTTTTCACTCGCACCATTGTCAATTAGGCACTTGACATTGACTACACCCGGAGATCGGTTGAGTCTGATAGTTGCTCCATACAAAGGTAGAGTTGAGGTATTTGCTGCATTCAGTAGGTTTGTCAGGTACACCGAATCAGTGGTGAGATCAACGGTAGTTGACATATCCAAGTCATGAATTATAGGGGTCAATTCCACAGGACGACGGGCATTTGAGTTGACAACCACGGGGTTTGAGTCTACCTTCTCTTCCACGGTATTCGATACTAAGCCCTGATCCAACGAGGGTGGCGAAACGACATTTACCACTTTATTGTTGTCTGGCACAGGTACAGAGACATTATCAGGGGGAATAACAGGCACAGAAACCAAAACAGGAGAAGAAACAGCAGAGGCATCCATCATGGCAATGACTTGATTCAAATCATCCATCTGTGCATTTCTTTTCTCATCTGCAATTTTATCACATAAAGACAGCAAGTAAGAGGAGCCACTAGCTTTATTACTACTTTGACATTGGCTGCAATCACAACCATGGTTTTCCTCTTCCATGTATTCAACATCCAGAATACAGTTCAAAACACCAACATTCTTGAATAGCTTGCGTCTAGTGTCCAGATCCAATTTGTCGAAAGCATGCATGATTTCAATGGCACGAATGTAGCAGTTCTTGGTGGTGTGTCCAGTTTTCTTGCAGTGGAAACAAGTGAGACTGGGGTCATGTTGTCTACCACGGCCACGGTTGTTTCTGTTGTTGTTTCTGTTGTTATATCTGTTGTTGCTGCTATTGTGGTTGTTGTTGTTGTTGCGATGCATGATGGCATCTAAATCCATAGGCTGTACGTCGCTGTTGATGTTGTATCTGGTGTTTGTCTGAACACCAGCACTGATCTCCGGATGATGCGCAAATTCATACGCCAAAGCATCAGAGAACAGTCTCTCCAAAGTACGTGATTCGATAGGCATGGCACGCATCGAAGCAATCAAATCCTTGTCCTTCAAACCTCTCATAAAACGATCACACTGTTCACGTTCACCGATATCCTTGATGGGAATGACAGCATCCATGAAGCGATCCACATAATCACGAATTGAACTTGTTTGGCGAATGGTAACCAGAACATCACGAGCCAAATCTTGGTCATTGGAGGGACGGAAGTTGTTGATCAAGATTTCCTTGAGTGCGGTCCAAGTGGTAGGTGTCGTGAAATGACTGTTGGGGTCTTCATGATGAGCCACAATGGTGGCAGCACGCCCAGATAACAAGGAAGAAGCAAAATTGTAGGTGCGTTCGTCAGTCCATTCATTGTGCAGCTTTTGTTTATCAATCAAACGAATCCAGGCATCAATCTCGCTTGCATTGCGATTTCCACTGTAAGTAGGTGGTGTTGGCAACTTGACAGTAGGTGCATGATTTTGTGCCTGAATGAAAGCTTTCATCATGTTGGTGAGCATGACCTGGTTTTGTTCCATAAATTGAGAGTAATCTGGTGAGATTTGAGGTTGTTCTCCTTGAGGATTGGGTGCTTGCTGATCAGCCATGTTGGGTAATATGTTGGATGTTTGATCGAGAATGAGGGAGAGTATTGATTTGAGGTGTGAAATCTTGGTTGGTTGTATTGGTTGTATAGTAGTGTAGTTTGCTGAATGTTTGTGTCTGTGGAATACATCCACTATGATCTGCATTCCGACAGTTCATCCAGTTACCAGATTTAGATATAAACTGTATGTACACTGGATTAGATGTACGATATCGATTTATACTATGATCATGAGAAGATATGGACTTCAGATACGCTAGTACTATAAGATTCATACTATATAAGATATAGGCTATAGATGGCACCACGGACATGGATGGCACTATAGACTTATACTTGTATTCCGACATTGACTACGGATGTTTACCATATCTGGATAGGCACCAAGATTAATGCAATATGAGCTTGTTGCTTCAGATGTGCACTTTATGATCCACGCTATAAGACACATGCTTATATCCGTGATACTAGCTACAGATACTTTATGTACTACAGACTTGTACTATATATGAGACATGCTATAGACATGCATACGATATGCTATAGACATGCCATATATCCAGATACATGCTAAAGATGTATGCTTAGCGATATACACTCAGATATGTACTATTAATATAGACTAAGAAGACTGTACCTATCGGATACATGCTACTAGATCGATATTAATTATCCTTATGGAAAGGATAGATCAGGGTACTTCGGATGAGAGTCTAATTATTCATCCAGACAGAGCTAAATCATGATTAGCTTGCTGGAGTTGTCTTTTAGCATGATTAGACATTAGTTGATCTGAGTTGACTTATTTGTCAATCTAATTAATAGAACTTTTATCCATTGTTATAGTATATAAGAAGGATCATCTACCTGGCCAGTAGAGAGACTTCAGTTTACTTTACACCTGTCAGTTTGATAATAAAATATACCTTTATCAAGTTGACTTTACTGTTTTTTTATTCTTTTTTTTCTGTGAATTTTAGTCTGTAAAGCCTCAAATTCCACATTTTTTTCAACTCAAAGGTTATCACTTTTACACTATCCACTTTACAATCTTATTATATTATATTTTATCTTATTTTATTTAAATCACTATGAACCCTGAACAGCAAGATATCATCATGAACGAACCTACTGAAACTGGTCAGATCACTGTTGATGAGACCACTAACTCTGTTGTTGGCTCTACCACTGGATCGTTTTCTGGAATCAAGACTCCTAATTCATCCTGCCCTGAATCTGCTATCGAGAGATTGCAAGCCAGAATCAAGGATGCAAGAAAAGAGCTCGAAAATATTTATATTGGTGATGCTGCTTGTCCCGAGGAAACGTTGGAGGCTGCTGATAGGATCTCTAAAAGGATCTCCAGTTACGAGACCCACTTGAGTGCTCTTACTGACAAGGCTGAAAAGCAATTGAGACCTGTCAACCTGAGAGATATTCCTCGTTTTCAAATAGTCGGTCAAACCAAGCACTACGAAGGTTATCCAAGCTATAGTTCATTGGAACACTTCTTCAGCTCTTTTGAGACTGTGATGCATGCTTCGAGCAATGATGTAGAGCAGGTATGGAAGCAATACATCCCCGTTTCAATGCACTTTACATACAAGACCTGGGTGAATAATGATCTTCTCAAATGCTCCAACTGGGAATCTGCCAAGGCTCTTTTTGTCAAACACTATGGTGTCCCTGTCAACTCTATGGACCTGATCTCCAAGCTCTTCAACATGAGGATGAAGACTTCTGACACTCTTCAGAACTACACAAACAGATTCATGAAGAATGTGCAAGAAGCTGGTTTCCCCCTTGAAAGCAACACTCTGGCCAAGTTTTACCAATGCTCACTACTCAAGAAAAACCAGCAGATGATGGTGAATCAAATGTTGGTGAAGAGGGACTCGAATCATCGTTGGACTATTAATGAGATCTACGAGTGTGTGCTTCCTTTGTTTCTGGCGGATGAGCAAGCTCGCGGTGAATCAGAGGTGGTGGATCTGAAAGGAAAGCGCAAGGCTGATGCTGCTGGTATATCTCAATCCAAAAATACCAAGATGGCCAGCACTGGTTATTTCTGTCCGAAGCATGGTGGCAATGCTGCTAACCACAACACTGCTGACTGCAAATCACGATTGAAGCAATTTGGCTCTGAAAACAAGCCCAACCGGGCCACTACTGCTGCTCCTCGCACTGTGAACTCCTTACCTTCTGGTCCCAAAACCTGCAACTTTTGCAATAAGCCCCGTGCTTATGGCCATCGATGTCAAGAGTTCTACGACTGGAAGAAAGAAAGAGAGTCAAGAAGGAACATTGAAGTTCATACGGTGAAAACTACTGTTCCTGAGGACAACAAGTCTGGTTCTGGTTCTGGTTCTGGTTCTGTGACCAATGATGCTACCATTGAAAGTGGCACTGATTCTGACATTGGTGATGCTATTGGAGATGTCACCATGGAGGAGATAGATGCTTGCTTGGACGAGATTGAAGCAGAGGATGCCTCGCTCAACTGTAAGTCTAATGTGAAAAATGTACCTGAAAGTTTCAATCCATTTCAGTTACTGACTCCTATTATTTTAGAGAGCAAAGAAGGAAAACCAGTCCGTTTGATCGCGAAAGTAGATACGGGATCAGATTCCACCTTCTTAAATAAAAACATTTTTCACAATAAACTACTATTCACTTCCCAAGATATTATTTCTGTTGAAGGCAATTTGAACTTTCTGAGTCATTCAGTAAAGAGATTGGGTAAAACACCAGCTATCAAGATAAGATATCTTAATGACATTGCATTTGATCACTCGTTTGAGCTATCCAATTTTATTCAGGACCTAGGCGATTTTGATGTGCTACTGGGTGTAGACACATTGAGTCGACTTAGAATTGGGCTAACTGGCGTTGCTCACAAGTTTGCTGATATTGGACATCTTACAGAGGAAGAGAAATCAGAGCTTCTTGAAAGCATCGATTTCGAAAATGTCAATTTCGATACTAAACATTCTATTGATCCAGAAACCGCATCAATCTTTGAATCCCAAGCTGAGGAGAATAAGTATATGAGCAACATCCAAGATGCTATTGATGAGAATCAGAGAATCAAGCCTGGAACGTTTTGTAACGTGCCTGAATCTGAGATCACTATACCAATCAAGGAGAATGTTGATTACTACGTCAAGCAATATCCGATCGCACATCATGCAATGCCCGAAATCGAAAAGCAATTGAATGAATGGCTGGATGCAGGAATTGTAGAACAGTGTAGACCTAACGGCTTATTCAACAGCCCTCTCATTGCAGTATCAAAGAAGGACAGTGATGGCAAACCCACCAAAACTCGAGTTTGTATGGATGTGCGGAGGATCAACCAGCATATGCCCAACAATACAAACCAATTTGAGATACCAAATATACAGGATATCTTCACCCGGATCAAGCAGAAGGGGACAATATTTTCGAAAATCGATCTGAAAAACGCATATTTTTCATTTAGAATTTCTGACATATCAAGAAATGTGCTTTTGTTCAATTTTAGAGGAAAATCGTATAGATGGTTAGGCTGCTGTTTCGGGTTGCGCCCAATCACATCTGTCTTTAGCTCTGTCATGAACATTTTGTTTTCTGATATGCCCAACGTGGAGGTCTATGTGGACGACCTATGCCTCGTATCTTCATCCTTATCCAGTCATTGCGAATTGATTAAGGAGGTGCTGAGACGCTTGACACATGCCAACTTAAAGATTGGTGTTGAAAAGTGCTCCTGGTTTCGATCTAGCATCTACTTGCTAGGCTTTGTAGTTGGTCCTCATGTTTCCAAGGTTGACATGCGACGTCTCTCTGACATTGATCATTGGGGTCCATGCAAATCTGCCAAACAGGTTAAACAACTAGCTGGTGTTATTTCATATTTGAGACCACACATCCCAAATCTGTCAAAACTGATGGCGCCTATTGATGCTCTACGAAATGATCCAGATGCTGGTAGCAAATGGACTGATGAGCACACCAAACGACTTGAGATTATCAAGAAGGTCTTGTTATCTGAAGCTTTACTGACTGCACCAGACATGAATAAGAAATTTTATCTTGAATGTGATGCTAGCTTATATGCAGTTGCAGTCATTTTGACGCAGCGCGACGATCAAGGACGCACAGTCTATGTGGCGATGTTGAGCAAATCTCTGACCAAATCCCAACAGAACTGGCCTGTCCTCAGACGAGAACTGTATGCCGTGTTATTCGGTTTAGTTCGTTTGCGACCCTTATTGTACGGGCATCCTGAGATTGAGGTTATGACAGATCATCGAGCTCTGATTTATATCTACACATGTAAATGTCCTACTAGAGTCATTCAAAATTACATGGAGATTTTAAACGAGTATCCCCAACTGCAATTTACTCATATCAAGGGCTTAGACAACATCTTACCTGACAAACTTAGTCGCTTGTATGAACCTTTAGAAGATCATACAGAGCTGGCGGGAGACAGTGATAAGAAAATTGCTAAATTACAAAAGAATATCATGAGAAGCAAAGGCTCCAAGAAACGATTCATTGGCAACAATAAGCAAACAAAGCATTATCTAACCAAGAACAAAGTAGTCTATAACAAAGACAAGCACTTGAATGTACTTGCTATGAAGATCAAGGAGGGCAATTATGAAAGCGTTGCTTACATTGCACCACCTGACAATGAGAGAGACCAACTGCTTCGTGAAACTCATGAATTTGGACACTTTGGTGCCGCTAGTATTGTCAAGAAACTACATGAAGAAGGTATTCATTGGACAGGTCTATATGATGATGCAAAGGCAATTTGTCAATCATGTATGGAATGTGCAAGACACAATGTAGTTCAAAAGGGTTACCATGAACTGAGAAACGTTGTAGCGTATGGTCCATTTGATCACATAGGCATTGACTTTCTTGGTCCGTTAACTCCAACCAACAATGGCAATATATATATATTAGTTGTATACGACATTTGCACCAGATTTATTATAACTCGTGCATTGCCCAACAAACAAACCGATACTGTCGCTAGAGCTCTGACTACCATCTTTGGAGACTTTGGCGTAGTACAAATACTACAATCTGATAATGGACGTGAATTCAAGAGTGCTTTGATGAGCGAGATCGGTAAAGCACTTGGCATCAATCAAAGATACTCTACGGCTTTCCACGCTAGGGGCAATGGTGCATCCGAATCAGGTGTTAAAAATATTCTTAATGCACTTCGTAAGATGGTCAGTGAACACATCTATGACTGGGACTCGGTTCTACCTGGAACTCAACTGGCTATAAACACAAAAATTAGGTATCGCACTGAGAGTGCACCTTTTCAATTGATGTTTGCTAGACCATTGAATAGATTCGTAGACTACGATGATCCTAAGATCAAGGACAACTTACCAAAGAAGCCTATGACTCTCGGTGAGCTACGCAAGAAGGCAGAGATTATGAACCAGGTTGTCTTTCCAGCTATTAACCAAAGAACACAACGCATTATTGAAGAGCAAGCAACGCGATTCAATAAGCATCACAAGATTACACACTTCAAAGTTGGTGATTGGGTTATGGTAAGACTTCCGCATAGAGAAAGCAAACTTGAGGCCGCTTATGATGGACCTTATCAAGTTGTTCAAAAGAAAAGATCTACATATGTGTTGAAAGACGATATGAATGAACTACTACATCGCGACTATGTGCCATCTGAATTGAAGCTGGTAGCAATCGACGAGTCTATCATCGAACAAGAAGTATATGAGGTTGACGAGATCAGAGCGCATCGTGGTCCTGAACACAATAGAGAGTATTTGGTAAAATGGAAGACATTTGGAGAAGCTTCCAACTCCTGGGAAACTGCTGCATCGTTCAACAACCCTCAAACCATTCGTAAGTACTGGGCAAAGATCAAGGAATATGAGCTGCTTGAGAAGAGAAGACAGGCACTAAATAGTGACACTGCTTCCTCCAAATCAAAGCGTAAGCGTGATGATTCTGACAAGCGTTTGAGAGGCTCTAAGAGACTCAACGTTGCAGAACAGTAAAGTGATGTTTGTCATGGGATATATCAGGGCAACATGCAAATTGCAGTAGCACCTTTAGACTATCACATTGCGTTATATCTTTGTCAGCGAATGCGAAATACAGATCATTGATCGTTTACATAATTCTTTGAATTAGTCAACATGCGTTGAAACTGGTGGGGGCAAATGTGGAATACATCCACTATGATCTGCATTCCGACAGTTCATCCAGTTACCAGATTTAGATATAAACTGTATGTACACTGGATTAGATGTACGATATCGATTTATACTATGATCATGAGAAGATATGGACTTCAGATACGCTAGTACTATAAGATTCATACTATATAAGATATAGGCTATAGATGGCACCACGGACATGGATGGCACTATAGACTTATACTTGTATTCCGACATTGACTACGGATGTTTACCATATCTGGATAGGCACCAAGATTAATGCAATATGAGCTTGTTGCTTCAGATGTGCACTTTATGATCCACGCTATAAGACACATGCTTATATCCGCGATACTAGCTACAGATACTTTATGTACTACAGACTTGTACTATATATGAGACATGCTATAGACATGCATACGATATGCTATAGACATGCCATATATCCAGATACATGCTAAAGATGTATGCTTAGCGATATACACTCAGATATGTACTATTAATATAGACTAAGAAGACTGTACCTATCGGATACATGCTACTAGATCGATATTAATTATCCTTATGGAAAGGATAGATCAGGGTACTTCGGATGAGAGTCTAATTATTCATCCAGACAGAGCTAAATCATGATTAGCTTGCTGGAGTTGTCTTTTAGCATGATTAGACATTAGTTGATCTGAGTTGACTTATTTGTCAATCTAATTAATAGAACTTTTATCCATTGTTATAGTATATAAGAAGGATCATCTACCTGGCCAGTAGAGAGACTTCAGTTTTACTTCACACCTGTCAGTTTGATAATAAAATATACCTTTATCAAGTTGACTTTACTGTTTTTTTATTCTTTTTTTTCCGTGAATTTTAGTCTGTAAAGCCTCAAATTCCACAGTGTCAATGTATATAAACAATTCAGTATCAGGTTTGGGTTCTCCGAGCTGGTGGAATAGAAATCAACACGAGCGAGATGTATAGCAATGTATAGTGTTCAAAGATAGAAACTAGGAACGACTATGAATATAGGAGGGTTGACTATTATGATTCAGTAAATGCAAAGATCTAATATATCTGTTTCGATCTTTCCCTTTAATGAATACTTAGCCGGCGTGTCTTGCTGTTCAACTTTTGTTTACTATTCTGCTGTAGGCGACAGGATAGAAAAAAAGGAAATAAAAAAGTACGAAAGTTGCTACCAATTGTCAGATGCGAATACGTAGAGATAGTATATGCAATCTGAGATCTGATCGAGATAGATATAGATATAGATGTAGGGATTATGCAGGAATGTATATAGCCTTTTAGTTGAATGGATAAAAAGGTACTTTATTAATATTAGATTTGAACATTGATTTTATCCAATATAGTTTGTGTAATGTTGTGCGCTATCCAGGTTAATCGCTGTTTAATGTTCCTGGTAGCTGGCGCTCTAGGTTTAAACCTGCGCTTCTTATTCTTGTTTGTGTTTAGTCTGTCAATGATATCCTGCAGATCTAAATCACTGTCAGAATACCCTTCAACCCTGACATATCGACTCTACGCGTGTAGACATCAGCAGTATTTATACTTTTTCGGAAAAACCTCTTGCCGTTCAGCCGCCTGTTTAGCCGCTTAATCACCCCAACCATCTTAATCTTTCGCTTTTCCGAATGCCAGGTTCGCCGATCCCGCCGAATCTAAACTCTGCTCCACCGAGTTCTACCGGTGCAGCACAATCCATCGAGGCACCATCCTCCGATTGGACCTCCACTATGATCACCACCTCTGGATCTGCCTCAGCTTCTACCAATGCATCCACCTCCACCTCCAATAAGCGCCGCCGCGATTCAATGCAGCAAGACATTGCCGGCCGTGATTATTACAATAACTTGAAGCAATCAGAGTTGATTGATCTGGTAGTCAAGCTCCAAGAACAGAATCTGATTCTCACCCGTTTACTGGAACGATCCACCCTCACTGCTGCTACCAATAATACCTCTGCTGCCTCAGCCACTCGTCTGAATCTTACTCCAAATGTCAGCTTCACACGTACCAAATCTGGATCTGCTGCATCTCGTTATGCATCGGAAAAGGATTTCCCAACCTTGAATTCAGGTACCAAAAAGGGATCTGCCAATGCCAAGCCTACTGCCAACACTGCCACCACTGCCACCACTACTGCCAACTCCAAGAAGAGCTCTGGTTCTAACAAGAAAACTTCCAAGAAGTCTTCTTCTAAAGCCAAAGTCCCCTCTGATGCTGCTGAAGCCAAGAAATGGGCTTTACGTCTATTTTCTACTCCTACTGCTGCTGACACAACGGATGGTGATGATATGCAAATGTCTTCCTCCTCTAATACTGCCACTTCAACTCTGCCTCCTCCTGGTTATACTTGTGTCTACCTTCCTTGTAGCCACAAAACCAAGCACGCCAATCTTCGCACTCGTTTGGAGTTGCTCAAAATCAATCTCAAACGTGTATATGCCATCCAACGTCCTGCCAAGCATGTTGTCTCTCTTCTGGTACACTCCCACTATGCTGCTGAAATTCTTAAGATCTGTGAAAAGGACGAACTTTATCCCATCACTGATTTCAATCCTATCTTTGGTAAAAATCTGGGCGATCCCATCTTTTGAAGACTCTTATTGCTCAACAACCTAGATCGATATTAATTATCCTTATAGAAACGATAGATCAGGGTACTTTGGATGAGAGTCTAATTATTCATCCAGGCAAAGCTAAATCATGATTAGCTTGCTGGAGTTGTCTTTTAGCATGATTAGACATTAGTTGATCTGAGTTGACTTATTTGTTAATCCAATTAATAGAACTTTTATCTATTGTTATAGTATATAAGAAGGAGCATCTACCTGGCCAGTAGAGAGACTTCAGTTTTACTTCACACCTGTCAGTTTGATAATAAAACATACCTTTATCAAGCTGACTTTACTGTTTTTTTATTCTTTTTTTTTCCGTGAATTTTAGTCTATCAAGCCTCAAATTCCACAGTTGTGGTAAGAATTGGTAAGTAACTGTTTTTTCTTGTGGTCGCAATGTTATAAAGCTTCTTTGAACGTTTGTACTATTGCTTCCTTTCCCGCGATAATGCATTCATGCTGTTTGCTTTATTATTGCCATTTCTTTCTCTTTTGTTGGCTGTGATATGATCAGCTCAACAAATACTAGCAATGCTGTTGCTTCATATTTACGAACAACAAGCATGACACACTGCTATAAAATTGTATTGCCCTTGTAATACTTTTTCATATAGCTGTGGATTGTTAGTGTTGCCTCTGTCGCTTCACATGAAAACAACATTGGTCTTCATGTTGTATTACGCACTTATACTGCTGCTACCGTTGCTCCTGCAATTGTGCGCGTTTGTGTTGTTTTACATCATGAGACTGTTATCATGCACATTGCTCATGTATGCATTTTTGTTGCAATGACAAGAATATAATAATGTGAAAATTTTTAATAATGTTTGTTATATCAAATGTCATAGCAAGGTCTCACACTAAAGGTTTTAGGCTATTCTTAGGTCCTTTGGGTAAATCATGCTAATCATGATTTACAAATCAATTGTTGGGTAGATAGTATACCTATTTGTATTATAGTTCATCATCATGCTGTAAACCCTAGCATAATGAAAAGTATATAAATGCATCCTTGGGATGCATTCTCAATAAAAGTGTAATTCTTTGGCAGATTCAATTTTACATTGTATTTTGACATAACAGTTGTAGCTATAACATACTTTTCTTTGACTCACTTCGTGTGAGTATTCTTTTTTTCTTTTGCCTACATATATACTACTATACTCCTATAGTATTATTATGTTCGTTTCTTTTATTATTCTGTTTCTTTTGAAGCATACCTCTTTACGTTGTGTGGATGCGCCTATCCCTGAAGCTCAACAAGACTCTATCCGAGGCTAGGAGGCGGATAGGCTGCCTCCACTTGGTTATCGCTACTTACTTTAGTGACGATTCAGGGTCTCAATGCCAGTATTTAAAGCTAGGTGGTGTGGTAAGGCATGCTCTAGTACCTGGGAGGAAGTTTAATGATAGCACAGGGCTAGATTTGGTATACTTAGCGGTGCTTAAAATTTTGCCTCACATCAAAACAGGGGGAAACCCTCGCAATTTTTTTTAAGTCAGCGGAGTTTTCAAGCAATCTGATTGGCTCGGAGGATGAGGCACTAAAGGGTTTTAGCTAGTTGATCTTCTATTGATCCGTCATTTTTTAAGATTTCATGTTTGTGATAAAAAGGCGTCCACATAGTTACGACTTAGATTCTTCTTTATTCAAAAGTATAAGTCAACGTACAATCATTTAGTCTACCCATTCATGAAACAATTTCATGTGAAAGGTATTTTTTAAATTTATCCTCAATGTTTTTATGCCTTTGATTACTTTGATTTGTGCTCCAGCAGTTTATCCAATTATTACCTGTTTTACTATGCCTTGCAGCTGTATGCGTAATGTATTTACGAAAACGAGCAAAGTGCCAGGTATAAACTTGAAATGTATTAAAAGTGTCTAGGAGGGATGTACAACATGAAAGATATAGGCATAGACGTGTTTAGAATAACAAAATATAGACAGAGGAAATACAATTAGAACTGAATATATTTATTATGTTATTCCAAGATTGAATGAGGAACAAAACTAGTGTAGATTTCAAAGGTAGTATTTATAGTTATTTGACAGTGCCGCAGCAATAGGACCTTGATCTTGAATGCGGGATAATTGTGTAAGCCTTGAAGCAGTTAACGAGAATGTGCTGCATAAGAGCTCATGAACCACCAGTCAAGGATAAACAACAAAGATAATCCAGGATAGAATGTTCTTCCTAATAGCTTTGACGGAAGAACATTTGTCGGGATTGAAACCCACTTCCAGGGACGAAAGGCCATAAGCTACCACTCTAGGAACCAAGATATAGATTAGCCATTTGATGGCACCACTCATGTTCCTTCGTGCTGCTTGAATAAAGACCTCTCACTTCTGCTACGCATCTCTGCTCATTCTCAGATCCTCTTATGTAATATACAACGCCTAATACATCTGCCTCTCAGAGATGATCTATATCCTAAACAAGACGGAGCCATTTTATTAGTAAAAATGCTGATTTATCGAAAGGGTAATGTATATTAAACTCAAAATGGGACATATTATTTCTTATAATCAACAAAGAGATATGAATGGCCAGCTATTCGTACATTGGAACCACAGGAACATGAGTTTTTAGGAAAGGACTCTTTAGATGTGGCAGTAGACGAGTAATAGATGTCAATGTACTCTATAATAGGCGGAAACGACAGTTTATTAGCTGTATGTATATCCAATTGCTGTAATTAAGGTGCGATGATCTGTCAATCTTCTTTAAAATGCAGATGCTCGCCGATAATCATGTAATGTTCTTGATTTTATTTTGGGAAACAAAGGTTTTTGTGTCTAGCTGATGTGTTTAGCAATATGTTTCGACTTGTATATTTTTAATGAACAGTTTCTTATTAGTGTACAGCGTGTTTTACTTGTTATGAAAGAACAAGGAGTAGGAAAAATGAAATCATGTATATAATTTAGAGATTTGTTAACATTATGAGTAAGGCCGCGAGGTTTCTAGTCTATGTAGAGTAATATCTCAATGCAACCGATGATTTTTCAAGAAGAGCGAAGTGTTATTTCGAACCTTGAATCGCCATCGTTTTGCAGCGGAAGCAGGGGCATTAGCAGCAGTTGTAGAAGATGATGAAGATGTTGTTTCATTCGTTATACTGATCGAATACTGCTCATTGACCTGTATCTGCTGTGTAGTCGCTGATAGCATCATAATAGGCGGTGCATTGGCAGATGCTGATCTTTGCTGATTATGGAAACACGATCTACGTGTTGCTAAAGCTGATGGGGTAGATGTTGATCCTGTCACTGCTGTTACCGCTGCTGGTGATGGTGATGTTTGCCCAACGACTGGAATTTCAAGTAGAGGCAGCCTTGGCTTTGATTTTATAAACGACGTTGTTATTGCTACCGTTGCTGAACCCTTTTTACCAGAAACAGAGGTTGATGATGGAGACGCAGAGAACATGGCATATACTCTATCGGATTCGGCTGACCAGTGAGCCGAACATAACCGGTATTCCAAAGGAACCCATACATCATTTCTTTCAATCCAACGGCCTCTTTTCACATACGACTCAAAGTAAGGCCCTTGGCAATGGCTACACGCACTAAAAGTGGAAAGATACTGGTATAATGGATCCGTAATCAATGATCTCAAAGCCTCTGCAGCCATGGCTTTGTTATCAACTTGCTTCTTCTTACTCATGACTGATGACAAGATCTGATATTCATTTTTGATGATGTATCTTGCACATGTCTCTAATAAGCTCGGGGGGTTGTGGGTTAATTCAAACGGTTGATCAAGTGATTTGGTGAAGGGGCAGCCGTCTAACCGAAGCCGGCGCAGGAGCGGTAGTTGTGTGATCTCGGCAGGCAAGACATGTATGGGGTTGTAAGAGAGATCCAGCAGCGTTAAGTTGCCAAGGTGTTCCACAGATACCGTTAGCTCTTGCAGTTGATTATGTCCGAGTTGCAGTGTTTGCAGTCCTTTGAGATGGCAGATGAATGGGGTGACATGCTCTAATTGATTATGCGATAGGTTGAAATCAGTTAAATGTACAAGATGGCAGATGGTGTCAGGTATAAAGGTGATCTGATTGTGTGCTACAGATAGATTTTCAAGTTGCTGCAAATGACCAATGGCTTCTGGTATCTCTTTTAGTTGATTGTGTGATCTAGAATGTGGGTAATTAGTTTACTCCTTAAAAAAATTGCCACCCAACATTGTATGTATGAATGTGTTTATCTTACAAGTCTAATTTTCTCATCATTGACAGTAGTCCAATATTGGGGCTGATGAAGCCAACTCCTCTTCTGGTAAGATCAATGTCTTGCATATTGTTTTGGGACATACAATAGATATCTTTGAATGTCAATGTGTCTCCAATCAGTAAATCCTCTATCTCGGATTCATATGTCGCTTTCTGTCGTTCATCTGGGTAATACGTCTGATCTACATACATCAAATCTTTCCAAAGCTGACTATCTCTTCCAGTAAGCAGGAACCCTGAATCCGTTCTGCCTTGATTTTCTGTTACTGAATCAACCGAATGGTTTGATCCCGTAGACTGCAGACCGTATAAGAACGGCTTGAACAGCACATTGTCTTCTCGTTTGTCTTGATCCGCCTTTTTAATATATACTGGTGGAGCAGTTACTTTTGTGGATGTTGTATATCCAAATACAGTGGATCCAAGCTTGGGTTTACAGTTGCGGTGACTGATAGTTTGACCCATAATATGTCAATGTTGATTTCAGAAAAAGAGAGAGAAAAAAAAAAAGCAAAAAAAGAAGGGAAGAACAGTAGTAAGCGTATACGCTTGTTTATATATAGAGGCTATGTATAAATAAACGCAAAATGCGCACAACAAGCCAAAAAAAAAGGAGGCCAATCTGTCCATCATCACATTCATATATATAAATTTATTATAATGAGCCCACTTTTAGGCTGCTGGGTGAACAACCACGTTGATCTCGGCAGTTTCTTGACCAATTTGAACAAACACTTGATGTTTACCTAAAGATTTAATACGACCACCCTCGGACTTGACCTCGATGGTTGATTTATCTACATCCAAGCCAAATTCCTCCTTTAATTTACTGATCAAATCCTCAGCCGTAACTGATCCGAATGTGTGATCACTATTCGGCACAACTGCTCTATTAAATTCGAGTTGACGGACACCTTCTAAATGGCCCAGTAATTCCTTCTTTTTCAAGTCGAGTTGTGCGAGGTGCTGTTGATGTCGTGGTGGTTCAGTCAAATGTCAATGCGCGCGCAAGTCATGTCAATCAAGATGATTTACCTCTACTTTGGCGGCATTCTTTTCTAATGCATCTGCAACGCTGGTATTGATAACCTCGTCTTGTTGTTGTTTGGCAATGTAAGATGCTTTTCCAGTAGGATATAATATATTTCGCATTAATCCAGCTAATTGTGCGTATACAGTGTGTATTAATTTCATTGAAATCAAGACCGTTATTTAACTCGAGCAGCAGAAACCAACTTACGTCTGACGGCAACTACTTGATCTATTAAAGCGAATGATTAAACGTTAATTTCAGCTCTGTGTTTGCTTGATGTGGCATGTTACCTTGAAGACCAACACCTTCCACAAATTGATTCAATTTGACTTGGATATTGGCCTTTTTATGAGCTTGTCTCTAGTGCAGATGTTGGCATTTGGTAAATATTTGAAGCCATGTGGTATTACCTTGATGATTTGAGTGCTGCATAAGATGGCTCTCGAAGATGGACGTAAGATAAATGACATTTTTCTTTCTCGTAATGTGCGGCAAGCAAGCAAGGGGGGAGAGAGGAAGAAATGTCAAAAGAAGTAGTGGCACCCAGGTTAACACATTTAGGAGTTTCAACAAATCAAGCAACTGGGGTATGATGGCTCATTAGGTTGGATCTCTACAGTCGACAATCAGTGGCTTATCGATTGGCCCTTTTTCTTCTCCCCTCTCCTATCTTCCATGATATTTCAAAAATTAAGAAGCAATCCATACACTGCTTCGGTAATCACTGCATTAACCTGGGTTCCTGCTGCTATTTTCTTTGTAGATCATGGATACAGCTATGCTACCATCAGTGGCAGATCAATGCAGGTAGGGTTTGAATCTCGGGGTTGACATCTCACACAGTGTGCAGCGTATTCACACATGTCGCATCAGCCTACCTTCAATCCAGACTCCAGCATGATGCGAAAAGATGTCGTATTACTAGATAAATGGTCAACGACAAATCACAAATTTGAGAGAGGCCAAGTAGTGACACTCAAGTAAATATGCACCATCCGATTGAAATCCCTGCCATCTAATACGCAACAGATCTCCAATTGACCCAAAATGCATCATCACTAAGCGAATCATGGCATTGCCTGGTGATACGATTGTTCCGCTTCGAAAGAAAGACCAAGCTGTGCCAGTGCCTGAAGGACATGTGTGGATAGAAGGCGACGAAGCATTCCATTCTCGAGACAGCAATTCGTTTGGCACAGTACCCATAGGCCTCATTGAAGCCAAAGTAACCTACATATTATGGCCGCCCTCACGATTCGGCCCTGTAGACAAGAAGCCTGTAGACAAGGATCGTGTCAAGATGAACGCATTTAGACCAAACATGGTCGAATAAACACTTTGGAACACAAAAGTGCATAAAGATCTTGTGTTATTGGTGCATTTACTAACAGACTAAATAAGCTTTCCAAAGACATCCATTGGAAAAGAAACAGGGCATGTCTATTCTTGTTGATTTTTCCCTTTTGCCAAACTGCCTTTCTTTCCATCTTCCCTCGCCAAATGATACTGCCAAGAGAAATACTCGAGCATATCGCTGAATACTTGGATTCCAATGACCAATACAGCTGCTTGACAGTCTGCAAAGCGTGGCATCCAGCATATTTGTAGTGTTTGTATAGATACATTCATCTCTTGTCTAATGAAAAAATTGAGCCAGTTACAATCCACACTGCACAGCCATTGCCAGATGGGCAGTCTGGTACGACATGTCTCTTTTCAGAAGACAGCATCACTCAGATTGGGTCTGGGCGTACGCATCGTGGAGCATGAACAGTTGAAAGTAACTCAGGAAATGCTGGATACTCTGGATCAGGCTTGTCCGTGGATGGAAGCAATGAGGTTTGATCAGAATCAATGGGCTTCCAGTTCGCTGATGCTACCTAGATCTCTGCTGCTGAAGCTACGTCAGTTGCCCACGCTCAATTTCAGTTTATTCACGCACATCATGGCAGAAAATGGCAGTAAGCTGACTCAGCTCACACATCTACACATCAGAGGCAATGCGGACATGATCCAACATCCAACATCGGCTATTGACTTGCTCGCTTACACACCGCACCTCACTCAATTGATCTTTGAACGAGACGAACTGCACAACAAATACAAGACGCCAGTGATTTCTTAAGAGCACAAGGATAGATTACATCGACATCTACCTTGTCTGGCTGATCTGCAGTTCATCAATCACTTTAATTTTGGATTAAGCAACTCCTACATTCACCAGATACAGCCTGCTATTTCAACGATACCGCCACAAAAGAGCTTGAAGCATCTCAGACTGGAGGGTACCTTGCAATCGAATCAGTGGATGGTATATAAGGCACACATGTGCTCTTAAGAAATCCCTGACCTTGGATTTGGTCCATTCTCCTTTCAGTGGAGTATTTGCGCCCCCTCCCATGCAAGTGATAAACCACAGGATCAGAGAGTCCTTCCAGACGATATCAGAACAGTATCAGCATTTGCATGCCTTGCGTATTCGTGGCTTGAGTACACCTCTCTGGCTTACTCCTAGGTTTGTAGCAACACTGAGGAAGAAACCCTTCTTGACCGAAATCGATGCTCAGCTGTATGGCCTAGACTGTGAAGGCGTCGAGAAATCAATTCAGGCACTCACATCAGAGGAGAACAGCGTCAACTTGACTGGCATACGATTGCCCATCTGGCCAAGACACAACCACCATATGAACCCATTAGGCACGTGGCGAGATACCATTAGACCTCTGCATGACTTTGAGGGACTCACTCACCTGGAATTGGATGCTGTCAGCTTGTCTTATGTCAGTACGTTAAACGAAGGCGATGGCTTTGATTTGGATACAATATTTAATATCCTTCCGACATGGACAACTCTTAAACTGAGTGGATCTACCTTGCAACTATCTGAACAAGCATGTTTGCAGCGAAATCTCCCAACATCCACCAGACTACATGAGCTAGCCTTGCACAAAATTGCCTTTTCGACGTCCATCACGGACTGTCTGTCTCGGCACTGCCCTAAATTGAAGCGACTCATCATGTATGATTGCCAACAACAGCAGAGCCACGATAACCAACAGCTCAAAATCAGTATAGATTTGCAGCCCCTCGATCTTGATTTATTAGTACTCTATCGAGTACGACACCCATACCAATCGGCAGAAAGTCGTGCATCTTCTGGTGCTCGCTATTTGTGTATGAACGGTCAAGATTGGTTGCATCTTTCCGTCAAGCACGACAATGACACTTGCGAAGCGAGACCAGTGCGGGACCAATCCAAAATCAACCAAATCACTGGTTACAACGAAATCTCGCGGGAAAAATGGAATCCAAGCCGTGCAAGATACTACACCGAGGAGGGATGGCTGCAGGATGTGGTCTTTGGTTATATCAATGTGCGATGCAAAAGTGCGAACAAAGTCTTTTTGGACGAGAGCCGTGTTATATCATAAAGAATTTACATATTATTGTTTTGATATTATATAGCAAATTTTCCTTATATGGTAATGCTATGTTTCAATTAAATACAGCTTGTATAATATATACATTTAGTTGCTTCCAGTTGTATAGTAATCGAGATACACTTGTCCTTGCTGTGACTCATAGAAATCGATGGGTATGGCTGGTTTGAGATAATCTTGTTTTTGCTGTGCTAACTTTCGTCTTGCATTTTCACTGAATGGATTAAAGACATCTTCATGAGCAGTTTAGTATTACAATGACTGTCATTGAAGCATAGCAGACTTACCTCCAAACTGGACAGATGGATCCACCTTCATTGACTCCTTGAGTGCGATACACTCTTCCACTTCCTCCTTTGTCATGGACTTCTTCCACTGACGCAACAATGCTTTAGCCATAAGGAAGCCCTCGTTTTGCATTTGATGAAGTAAGCAGTATTTCAGCATAAACATCTTTAACTGGATATTGGAGTGATGCCAGCAATAGCTTCCCATAGCATCTACATCGCTTTGTGAAAGAGTGTCCAACTCCACATTCGTAGTTCCAAAGCAGAATTCCAACATGGTTGTGTAGGCTACTTCATTCTCATCCACAGGCTCTGGTTCAGCTACTGCAGGTTCTGGCTGTGTTATGGTAGTGTGAGAGGGAGTAGTGGCATACACATCAATATACATAAGATCACTAGTAGTGTCTTGCTCCGTGTTTAACAACCTCAACAAGTCCTCGTCTCTCACAGGGATATAGTCGATGGTATTTGCTGTATGGGGTTGAGGCAGTTGTTGCTGAGGTGTACTGCCATTAGAAGACTCATTCAGGTCCGAGAGTTCGCCACCAGAGACGAATTTGATGCTATCCTCCTCATTCAAGAGATCCTTGTCTTGAATAGGATCTTTCTCAAGAGCACCGCTGTCGTGGATTTCATCGTCTCCTTCTTCAAGATATGATGCTTCTCGCACATCTTGATCTTCATGAGTGTCGCTTTGAGTAGGATATGAAAATGCTTCTTCTTGCTGCTCCTCCTCCTGATCACCATCTTCCAGCTCGTCTATATCTTCATTCTCATCCTCGCTTCTAGCAATGACCATAGTAGTAGGCTCTTCCTTTTGAAATGCATCGTATGCTGCTTGGTTGAACATTCCTCTATTATCTTCTGCTTGATCGGCATAGTCCTGGCCATCACCATCTTGGTCATATTCAGGTCGCTCCTTGTCCTCATCCAGCATTTCAGTTTCACGAGTTGTCATGTCTGCATTTTCCTCCTCTTCAATGGCCATCTGACTATCTCTCTCTGCATGATCGTCGATAACAAGATTACCGTGATTATCCTCAATAGTAATGTCAATTGGAGATGCGTCTGCTGTCTTTTCTGCTTGTTCCTGGTCAGGCTGCTCGACGACAATATCACTCATAGAATCGTCGTGTTCTAAAAGTGCGTCCTCATCCATCGAATTCGTACTAGTTTCATCCTCCATTTGTCGTTCAAGAGGCAGATTCTCAGTAAGCATGACTTCTGGAATATCCTTTCTGTCGATCACCACATAGCCATCTTCAATTGCACTGCTTTCTTCTTCGTTGGACTCCTCCAATACCACATTCTCCAATATGGTCACTTCTAATGCGGTCAGTTGTTCTTGTACTTCCTCGCCAGCTTTGATGATATGCGTTTCCTCCATCTTGACGACAGCAGCCCCTTCCTCCTTGACAAGCGTATTGTCCACAGGCTCCTCCTCCACAGCAGCAGTGCCTGATGCTTGCTTTGTTGCCAACGTTGCAGTTTCTTCCAGTGATATGGCCAACTTCTTTTCAAGTAAGATGGTCGAGTTTGCCGCATTCTTGTTATTAGCGTCATGTAACTTTTGTCGCTTTGTACTCGACTCGTCAGCAGAAGTATTCTCACTCTCTCTTTTAGCGTTGGCCCCAGTATGAATGGGATTCTCTGCTACGACGCTCAGATTGTCTACACCTGTCGTCTCTAGCGGTTCTGTGCTTTCATCTACCGTATGCTGACCTTGCTCAATCTCTTCTAAATCTTCTACGATATTCTCTAGCGTATCTGTCGCTTTTTCTTTTTCGTCCTCGTCAGGCACATTCAAAGCCTCAGTTGCAACTGCATCCAACACTGCTACAGGTTCTTCAGGGGCTGATATATCCTCATCCATAGTGGATGGTTTCTCTGTATGCTGGTCAGTACTGGCTGTGTTTTCGGTAGCATGTGCCATGCTGTCGTCAGTAGCTGCTGCATTCTCGTCAATCACCAAATGACTGGTACTGTTGGTAGCTGCAGTATGCTTCACATCATCATCCTTGTTTTCCTCCAGTATAATATCAGCAATCTTTTGAGGCACATGATTCAAGTAGCCGTTGCTATCCAATTTGAGTGATTTGACGGTTTCTGATTTAGCCATGGTATCAATGCAGCTCTGCTGATCCATTGCCAGTATCAGTGCTTGATTGATCTTTGTTGGCGACACTTCCCAGATATTCAAATCATAGGTCTTGTCCCCATTTTGGAAAATAATAGAGAGTTGTAATGTGCTGTCTTCAACAGTGGTGGTGGAGGGTATTAATTTGGTCTCGAGTATTTTGGCGTGTGATTGAATACTCTCGGGTGGATTAATGATGGCTCGTTGTCTTCGTGTAAAATCGCCTCGTGTCTCTACTACTTTGATGTAAGATCGACGGTACTGATACTTGATCTCGTCTGGCTTTTCTTGAGCAAGAGCGACATTCATCAACAAGCTGTTATAGGAGCGTGCGCAGGACAACTGTGTAATGGGATCTGGATGTGTATTTAGTATCAGATACGTTGGCATTCGTTGCTAAACCCTATTTATACTTACATCCGGGAAATTCGGTGAACTCTGACAAGTCAACTGGCACTCTGATTCTGGAGGCCTTGTATGAGTACACATGGGCTCTGATTCTGTAGATCAGAATGGCACCTTGACTGAAGCCCAGCAGGATCTGAGGATCACTATGGCCCATGCGCTTATCTCCTTTATCCGCTGCCAGTATACAAATGGCTGTGATATGGCCAATGTCTGGTTTGTCTTTTCCAATTGTCTTGAAGGTCTCTGTCAACTGCGTATATATCAGTGTGGGTATTATTTGATTTCTATCGAAGCCCACGTATCAACTTACCTCAACTTGCATGACATCCTCTGCTGAATTTAGTGTTAATAATACCAAGGTAGCATCATCCTTCTTGGTACCAATCACCATGGCAAATGAGGGTTTAGTGTCTATTGTGTTAATTCTATCCACATAGGCCTATAACAACAGCAGGGGTATGTGAGAAGTTACCAAAATTAACAATCAATCATATACTGTACCACTGTAAATGGTGAGCATGTCATGTCTGTATGTGTTATATCACCGTTGATAGGCTTATTGTACTCCACAGCCTTGGATACCTTGGTTTTGACGTTATGGCTAAACATATAGTTGTTGTGGTTGTCATCACTGCAGATAATCAGTAAATAAGGATCCTGATTTGTTTTGCAGCACAAGACAGATTCAATTTTACGTAGCTGGTATGGCGGTTAATGACAATCGTAATTGTATGCTTGCTTGTCAAGATGCTATACTTTACCTCTGGCGAATTGTCAAGCGAATTCAGGGCGTTCAAGGTGATTGTGTCGTTTGTCTCGCGCACTCGATTGGCTTCTGTGTAGACATACTCGACAACTTGACTATCAAAGTTGAAGATCAAGTCAGGATCCAGCTCATAGTTGTATTTATGATGATTTATAGATATTTGTTGATAGTCGCTCATTGCTGGTATCAGGAATTTTTTTGTGTTTTCTAAATGAAAGAAAAAGAGTAATTGGAGCCTATTTTGCAAATTGTGACTAAATGTTTTGTTCATGCGTTGCAAATCTCACTATCGTCATTCCCATGTTGTCTCGTGTCAAGCACACATTACAGTCTGACGAAGGTGCTTTCATATTTTGAGCGTTCAGCAGAAAGCTCTTTGTTGAAAAAGGTGCATGCGCCTTACTGCAAAGCGCATGGTACTTCTCCATCGAAGCTCGCAAGGTACACTTTGAGCTGATTTCGAGGCCAGATTTCATAGCATCTCAATGAAATGTTGGTATACAGCGTTTTTATCATTAAAATTCGCAAATAAAGAGATGAAAAGAAAAAAGAGGGGAGAGGGAGGGGGGGGGTATACTATTCGAATCACAACACTCCAGTGGCTTTTGCATGATCTAGATAAGCTTGCAATGGCTTGATCTTCTCGGGCAACCATTCACTGTTATAAATACAAAGCACACGCATTCTATCATTGTAGAACAGATCAGGCAATAATTTGGGTGTAATCAAAAAGTACCTAAAGCAAGTGATGGTTAGCATAGGGTTGATTTTGCCTTCCATCCAACAAAGCTACTTACTGTGAGGTTCCTTCACGAGTGGCACTTTGTACAATTTGCTCATGAATCATACGTTCGTTACGAGGGTCCATACCCTGATTGATCTCATCTACCACACGGAAAGGAGACGCAGCCAAATCTTGCAGTGACATCAAGTAGAGAATAGTAGAAACGGATCTCTCACCACCCGATTGTCTTTGGCCAGTCAAGAGTTGCAGTTTCTCTGCATCTCTGAACTTGACAAGAATGTTGATACCCCACTTGTCAAAGTCTTCTGACTCTTCCAACTGAATGGCACCAGCACACTTGATACGGCTGAAGGCAGCAGAGAACTTTTCATCGATACGAGCGACCAGTTCCTTGATGAGCGGAGCCCATTGACCCTTGAGGGTTTGAATTTGATTACGCATATTCTCCAGAGTAGCTCTCGTCTGTTCTGCCTTGGCCTCATATGCTTCAATCTACGTATACAGTATGAGTGAATAATCAAGCCAATGACTAGGTTTCGCTGGATAGACACTTACACTCTTCTTTCTGTCTTGATAATGGTCCATGGCATTTGCATTAGCAAAACGAATACCAGCAACCTTGCCCTGTTCCTCTGCAATACGACTCTCTAATTCTATAAGGGTTGTCTGCAACCCACCTTCGGCTTGTCTCCATTTAAGCACGATTTCGTTATACTCTTCTATCAGGTCTTCAGGCAAATCTCTTCCAGCATTCTTTGTGGCATTCATGCACTCTTTGGTTTCTCTTTGAGCTTGCAAGAAGGCGTTTTTGAATATGTTCAAATTTCTTTTAGCTTCTTCCAGGTTCTCTGTTTGAGATGATGCGTATGCATTGATGGCATGGTCCTTGGAGTCCATAAAGTGGGACAGCATAGCGGCCTTATTGCGTTCTTCAAACAAGCCGATGACCTTGGTAACGTATTTTGCGTGATTCTTCAACGCAGCATCCTCTTCTTCAATCATGCGTTCCACCGATTGCTCCAATTGAGCGATTGCCTCTTTGTCTTCTTCGGGTCGCTTTCTCATCTCCACCAACTCTTTCTTGTATGTCTCACATCTTCGAAGTGCATGCTCATAAACCTGGATTCTCTTTTGCACATCTCTCTTTTGTGATTGTTGGTCTTCTTTAGCGTGTCTCTTCTCTGCCATGGCGGCTTTGATCGTGTCGTGCTCACGGCTGATTTCTTTGAGATTAATCTCACCTTGTTGCTGACTAGCTTGGATACCTCTCATTTCTTCCTTTAGAGAAGCCAGGGCTTCAGTGTCGACAGAGTTACCGAGAAAGTGAGGGGGTGGGATGACGCTGGTTTTTGTTTGCGTGGATTTTCTGCCGTACAGACTGGTCTTTACATTGTAAAATGTGTCACCAGTAGTAAACTTTTGAAAGAGACCACTATCAACGATTGCCTTTGCGTCAACACGATTCAAAGAAACGGGTATCTTGTCAAGATGACACTCTAGACACATTGTATCCACCACATATTTTGGCCCTTCAAGTATTTCAGAAATAAAGTGCTCCAAACCAGTTCTAGCTTTGAGTTGGTCTATATTTGCACAGGGCTTTTGATAATCATGATTAGGATCGAGGTCAGGCCAATTGATGTTGATCTTGAGCTTCATCTGATCGAACAAAATACTGGTCATGAATCTGTAATCGTCTTCTTGTTCGCAGATGAACGACTATCAAAATACGTCAAGCTGTGACACTCAATCAGGCACAAAATCAAGCTTACTCTAAGATGGGTACTTCTAGGGCCGCCCATAGCAAATTCAACCTGGCGAGCATATCTTGGATCCTTGAGATTGAGCAAAAGAATAGCTGGTTCATACACCCGACCTTTCAATTTGTCTCTGTTTTGCTTTAACCAATTGTACCCCTTGAGAACATCCGGATAGGCTGCGACCAATTTTTTTAAACGGGCTTGTTTAACATTTTCAAGCTTTTCCAGTCTATAGTGATAAAAAAAAAAAAAAAAAAGAATGAAATGTCAAATCACATATTGTGCAAAACGTCATTGACTTACTCTGCTCGCATGTATTTCATGCGTTCTGCAAGCTGATTCATTTTTCTCTTCTCGTCGTCACCTCTGCCATTAACGTCGTTCTGTTTCATGTTTAACTCTGAGAGTTCCTTATTGATCTTGGCCTATAACAGCAGTAGAGTCAGTATCCTTGGAGATGTACCACGGGAATGAGCTTACAATGGCATCTTCAAATTGGCTGGTGTCATCGTCGGGTCGATTGGCTAGTTGCTCTTCCATGTGTTTGATCTTTGCTTCGAGCCGTTCAATCTCACGTTCTTTCTCGGGAACTTTGGCCTTGCGTTCTTCGATAGAGCGCTTGGTACTGTTGATTTCAGCTCTCTATGAACTTTGTGTGAGTACATGCTTTTGCTTGGCCTCGATGCTTTGCAGCTTTACCTTTGTCTTGATCGACTCCATCACCTCTTTTACTTTTCGCATACCCGTCCTGTAGGCATTCTCTGCTTTATCCAACTCAATGCCCGCTTTTCTCTTTTCTGCTGCAACTTGGCTGCATAATTTCATCATGTTAGCTTACACGAGTCTCTATTAGATGTACAAGATGGTAGACCTACTCGAGTAGACTCTTGATGGGAGCAACTTCGTCCTTGGCACGCTGATAAGTGTCCTTTGCTGCCTCGTAATCAATCTGTGCTCGGTCATATCTAGCCTTGGATTCAGTGTACTTGACAAGAGGGATTTGTGATTCCAGTAGCTTGATGTTCTTTTGGAGTTTCTCTCGTTGTTGCATTCTTAACACATCTCTTTCTAACTCTTGGTTCTTTGCTTTTATTGACTTGAGATGCAACAGGTCGGATTCATGAGACTTCATCAATGCCTTTTCATCATCACGAAGTCGAACGAGCTTTTGTTGCATTTCATGTAATTCGGCTTTACCAGCTGCTGCTTGGGTTCTTTGCAAAAGTAAGGGAGGTGTCAACTAGTAACGGATGTTAGATCAAGCAAACAATTTGTTATTCTGTGGCAATTTTACCTCTGCAAACTCGGCAACACGATCCTGAGGCAAGAATTGACTACAAAAACAAATTCAGTATCTCCCACTTGAGCATCTAATGTCTAGTTACCATAAATTGTCCACCTGAATATTGAAACCGTTGACGATAGCCTGTACCTCTCTGGAGGGACAGTTTTTACCTAGTCAATCACACTATCAGGTGCCAACCCATATCATCCTGCTCCATCACACTACATACCATTAATTCTCCATATACTCGAATTACCACTCTTCTTGAAAGAACGAGAAATGGTGATATTACGGGTGCCTACTTTCTTGAGTTCAATCATGATGGTGGATTCATCTTCACCTGTCTTGACAAATTCATTGATATCCCTTGCTCTTCCTAACAAAGCAGGGGTACCACCCAAACCCAAAGCAATAGCACAGACAATAGTGGATTTACCAGTACCATTGGGGCCAATGATCATGTTCATGTGAGGGCCAGGTGCAATCTCACAATAGTCGTAGGTAACAAAGTTGGTTAATGTGAGCTTGACAATAGAACCCTCAACGAATCTATAGCAATATACTTAGCATTGGATCATAGGCTATGTTTGCAAAGTTTCTACCCATCCACATCGGCTTCCAAAGGCTTCAGATCCAAGTTACGCATCTCTGGTGCAGGCTCAGAAGGAGAAGCGTTGGCTCCCTCAGCGTCGTCGTTGTCGTCTCCAGATTCCATGCTGTCATCTCCATTCATCTCTGCATCGCCGTTGGTGATTTTGATGTGCTTTGCAGATGGGGCCTTCGTCTCATCATCACTGTCGCTTCTTGCTCTTCTGATCGTCATTGTTGAATGATTGTGCAGTAAGGATGATAAAAAGACTAAAACTTTTTTTTTTTTTTTTTTTTTTTTTTTTTTTTTTTTGCCTTTTTTGATTATTTAATGTGAAAGGAATACGCGATCTTTGACACCCAAATCTGGTGTTTGACAGTCTCCCATGCAATCCTCATTTCGCTTGTTCAATTCCTGTCAAATGACAATAGATGGTCTGACAGCAAGGCTATCATGTAAAATTTAGCAATTGTTGCGTGAAAGAACCTCATTTAATAAACACGTTCAAAGGTATGGCCTGTGTTATACGTCAGTTTGAAATCTGTTGCTGTGTTTACTTGCTGCAAACACCATCTTGTCATGTCGGATATTTGAGAACAATCATGCCATATTCTATGTCAGTGATACTGAGCTATAGCGTTTTTGAGGAAGAACCTGTTACCAAGTAACTAGGCGCAAGCCAGTATTCACTTTGGCAAAGCACCGACTATCATTTATGATAACAAATACACATGCACTATTACGCTCATATTTGGATTTGGATCAATGGTTTCTCTGAAAATAATGACCAGCTGCAAAAGAAGCCTCTCGAATCACACATACATGCTTCATTTTATGAGACAATATGCAGTATAGAGAGACATTGAATCTTTGGTTATGTGAGCATTATTCACTGCGTACAGTCAAATACGGATGCTATTTGCAAGAACCATAGTGGAAAAGTAGCTCTTGAGCTGCCCTCAGCGACTAGCTAATGCGATCTGGGCACGGATAATATTCGCTAGGGCTAAAATCTCTCCAGTATCATGTAAAACTCATATATATATACAGTCTGCAGCTATGGATCTAGCTCTTTTAGAATGCTCCCAGTTCGCACCATTGAGAAAACCTTATATACGGGTATATAGCATACTTGCATCACCTCTTACTACCTGAACGTGTGCAAAACACAGCGAATTGGTATGCCTTTGAGTCGTGTTTTCTACCGTTAGAAGCCGTTCTAGGCCACCAGAATAGCACCAACCAATCACTCTCAGATAGCACTAATTTTCTGACACCTTTGTTCAACTTTTTCAGGATCGTCAAAAATTGACCAAAAATTGATCAAAAAGCATGAGGTATACCTCATGATTTTCATCGAAAATCAAGTGATAGCGTTTTTGACCTCAAAATCGAAGACTTTTACTATAGTATATATTGAATCAAAATGTTTCTATCGATCCAAAGTAACCACTGAAACTTTGTTTGCGGGAATTTTACATGTAAAATCTAGACATTTTGGCTAGAAACGTCAATTCATATTTTTTGAAATTACTCAATAGGTTTGTTCAAAACGTCCTCAATAAATACCACCATTAGATGCGTCTTGAAAAGTACGCCAAAAGACAATTAGAAAGTATGGCATGATCAGTGCACTTTGTATAGTCAAATCTAACAAAAGAAGTCGAATCGAATCCAAAAAGTTCAGAAATTAACAAATCAAGACAGAATGCAGAGCGGGCTTTGAACCATTCTTGGCTGGATGGCCATTCGTACTATGCTTTTTGTATCTTGTGAGGGGGAATTATCAAGCCAAAAATATACAATGAATGAGTCTTCATTAAGTATTTTTTTTCTTTATTTAGACAAGAGTTGGGGTAAAAAAATAAAAGGAAATTAGATTGTATAATAAGTTTAGGTAAATTAAAGCAGAAACAGCCAGTGTTCTTGTGAAAGAGGATGAGTGTGAAAGAGAAGGGAGTATTTTGTAGTAATGTGTGTTAATGTAATGAGGAATAATGCAAATATACATAATATAATTTTGATAGGTGGTAATGATGATAGCATGAATACTGAAAGCGCTTATTTACCGTGAATGGAGTAAACAAAGAACAATACCCAAGCAGTGATGAGGGCAGCGGCAAAGAAACCGACGATAGGATAACTGAACTTTCTGACAGGAGTCTCAGAGTAAGGATCCTTGCCTCTTGATGTGAGCTCAAGTTCCTTGTCATTGATTTCTTGCATGCGAACAGTACGCTTAGCACGTCCAATTTCCAAAAGGTTACCATAAAAGTAGAATTGATTCCACCAGAGAGCACAAATCAAGACGAAGCCGAAGCCAGCCAAGATAATGAATACCAGCATGACATTGACATAAGATTGACCGGCGGTTTTGTCTTGAACAACACCAATGGCAACATCAAGAATGGCAGTACCAATATTGTTGGAACTCTTGTAGATACCCAAACCAGTACCAATGTACTCTGAAGGCAAGAGCATGCCAATAGAGGTAATCATAGCAATAGGACCGAAAGCAAGGGAGATGGAGTAGAATACCATACCGACCACAGCATCAACATAGGTCCAACCCAATAAACCAGAACTGAGAAGCAAGAAGATAGCAGAAACGAGCAAGATCACAACACGTTGACCATAGAAATCCATGATGAAACCAAGGACAGGTGTGGCAACGATGGGAACAGCTTGAGATGCACTAGCTTTATAACCGGCTAAACGATCTTCGGTACCGAAATGCTTTTGAATAAGATCAGTAGCAATAGTTTGGAAGGAAGACCAGACAGCAGCGTAGATGAATTCAATGAGGATAATGTGCCAAAAAATGAGAGGGAACTTGAAGATGGATCTCCACTTGAAGGTCTTTTTCTTCTTCAAGGCTTCCTTTTCCTTTTCAGTCAATACAACTTGTCCCTTGAGATGCTTCACTACAAGAGCATAGACCAAATTCATGGCAATGGAGAAACAACAGAGGATGAATGACAGCCAGAAAGCCCAGACCCAATCGCCAGTGGCAACGGCAACAGAGTTGGCAACCAATGTACCCAAGAAGGTGGACAAACGACTGATGGAGAGTTGAAGACCAATAGCAATGGACAAATGTTTGGTACGGAACCATTTAGAAAGCAGAGATTCCTGCATGGTGACAATCAAGCCACTACCAATACCAAATACAACACGAGCAACTACCATGAGGGCATATGATTCATACTTGGCAGCAAGAGCAGTGAGAAGAGAACCAAGAATAATCATGAAATTGATGGCAAGAGTACCCCAAACTGAACCAAAGACATCGATAAACACACCACCAGCAATAGGGAAGATTGTATTAATAATGGATACGGAGGCAGAGATGACACCGTATTGGGTATTAGAGATGGCAAGATTGCTTGTGATCTGCTTCTTCATGGCAGAGAGAGCACTGGCAGAGAAGTGAGAGCCAACTAGGATGGAAGCATGAGTATACTGAATCAATTGACGCATGTCTGGGCATTACTTACATGGAAACAACAATGCAGTGACCAAGGCAATAACCTTATACTTCCATGGGGCATTAGCAAGAGCAGTATCGCCACCATGTGTGATGATCTCCTCGCTTTTATCGTCTTCTTTGAAGCTTTCACCGTCTTGAAGGTATTTCTCAGATGCTACACCGGTAGGATAACCTTCATTGGAAGCAACTTGTTCCTTTTCACTTGGTTTTTGATCCATATTTGAAATGATGAAAAAAAAGAGGCGAAAACAAATTGGAAAAGGAAAAAGAAATGTTGCAAACAAAACAGAGCTTATTTAAATTCGAAAAAAAGGCTTGGGCATCAATGGACCCTATATTAGCAGTAGAGAGTAATCTGATCCAAATGCTAAATATACATGCCCTTGATATGGTGCCTCCAAGGGTAACTCCAAATTTATCTGATTGCAATTTTTTTAAATGTACGACCCTAGTCCTTTTTCTCCGTTACCGTTGTGTTGTACTCCAGCTTCATGATCCCCTACAACAGATGAGACATTTTTACATTGGAGTACTCAAGATCAACGTAAGGGAAGATCCAACACGAAGTTGCCGTCGTTTAAATTTATACTTTTTTGGAGCCATTGTCCTTGGATCAGATAAGTAAACCTGCAACTAGTGTATATCAGATTGTCGTGAAAATTATTTTGTATTTATTTATATCAGCTTTTGTTCTTATTCTAAATTATCGGTGATAGCCAAGTATATCAGATCGTACTCCGTTTACTCGAACTTTTTAGGTTTAAGCTAACCATCTTGTAGCACATCCAAGCATGTAAGTTCTGAGTGCGGAAATACGAGAGCATTTCAATCTGATATGTAATCTTAATTGGACACACACATGTGTATAAATATGCAACTAGTCCTTTTCTCGTGCGGTTTCCTGGTAATCCCAAGCGAGACGAGGTTTTAAACATATAAATGGAAATTAGACAGAAAATCATTGACAGCAACCTAGTGGATGATCCCTCTGTTAATTCACTATAAATGTATCTTTTAGTCATGCTTTGATGGAATTCCATTGCATGATGTTTGTCCAAATCTAAATTCTACTTTTTTGGTCTATTCACTTGAGATTTTCATACTAATCGAGCGGGTGTCCGAATAGATGGAATCCTCAGAAGACATCTGTATCATGTAACCACGGCTATTGAAAGCACGAATCTGATTCTCATGTCCTAAACTATAACCAGACAATTCAAAATTGCGGGGCGAAAACTGATAACCTGGTCATTGCTGACTACAACGGATGACTTTATTTCTAAATGTTGCCTTAAATGCGACCCCTATTAAGGAAGCATACTAATCAAATCAACAGGATTATACCTTTTAGATATACAAAGAACTGTACATGGTATTGTTCGTTTATCTACATTGACCAAGTGCCAATCTAACATTTATCCGTCTGTAAACTTAATTTGCTGCCCTGATTGGAAAAAAGGTGAGTTTAGTTGCATGGCTAGATGTTATACAATTTATCCAAGGCGAGCAACTTATTCTGATATGCATGCCATTGACTGGGAATATCTAGAATGCGGCTTTCCATATCAACAAAAGGTGGTGCAAATTGAGCATATACAGTACACTCAAGTCAATCGATTACCGCTGTTGTTACACACACACTTTAAATGTAGCTGAAGCATTTCAACACACTGCTCCTTGCACTCCATTCTAATTTTGTTGGTTAAATAGATGAAAGCTTACTTGGTATACACTTATTCTGTTTGTTGGACATGAAGATGACAATTTCGGATGATTCAGCACATGATACCTCTCTGAAATGGTGCGAGATGAAGCAAGTGATCGCCTAGAGTGTACAGCGAGCGTATGACTCTTCAAGTTCTACTGATGAAGAGGCAGTTCTCATCCGTCGTCACGGCATATGAACACAATTGGCTTGTTTACAATGCTTGGAAATGCCTAGACCTTACATTAAGGAAGCATCCTCATCAGCTCACAGCTTTAATAAATGACAAATGTTGACGTTGGCATCGGGTGATTTAGGCTCTGTCTTTGTGATTAGAAATCAGAAGCAAAAAGACGCAAACAACGGACAGATTGTCATATCACGTTGATTTCCATGCTTTCTGTTACCTAAAATCATATCCAGGTTTCGCTTTTCATAGGGAGAGAGATCGCTTGTCTGTTCGGATTGTGTAGACTTAATCTAACAGACCATGGAATGCGCAGAAACTGACCCTTTCTGCCGTTTGAAACATTTGATTCCATTAAGTATTGATGACCTGTTTTAACCGTTCATCCTCGATCTGTAGTGTGTTTGATATGAGAGAACTATGAGAAACCCAATCGTTTTCAGTTGTTGAGAACATTCTCGTATTTGAATACATGTTTTTCAAATGATACCTGAAAGCACTCATTTTAGTGACTGATCAAGCTCTAGAGCCATTTTACATGGCGTGATACAGATTGCCTTTAAGCAGACAAGATTGTGATCAGAACTGTGTACCTTTAAGGAATTTATTGAGCACAGCGCTTGCGCTGGCACGTTTCATAGTTGGAAATTTAGGATCCCACTTTGTGCCGGTGGTTTAAAGCGTCATCTTACTCTCTGATACAGCTTTAAAACGCACCAGACCCTATTTGATGAGATGCTACTGATTATGACTTATGCCTGCGTGCAATCATTTGCTAAAAAGATATATCACGATTAAAACTGGTCTTTTGAGAGAACTTTGAAGCTATCCAGCCATAACAAAATATCAATGCCGCAAGATCAAGACTGCCGTAGGAATTTCTGATTGCAGTAAGCATTAAAAGAATCTTTAAATGAGCAAAACTAACGAAATGAAATAAGGCGTGATAGTAACATACAACAGTGATCCATAACCTCCTTCATAAATCATGAGGATGTCTCAATGCCAGTGTATGCTGGGCATAATACGACCAATTAAACCCATCCAAAGTGACTGATCAGTAACAATTCAAAAGTTCGAGTCCCTGTCAATTGAGCTCATTTCACCACTTTCTGTCATGCCAACTATTCTACATGTGCGCACAATGCGCCTTTCTTCAGGGAGCTTCAGTAAGCGTAGTTTCTGGAATTCTGCCATCCTATCAGCCAAGGCATCCGAGAACCCATACACCAAGACAATTTTATTGCCCAAAACCAAGTTTCCCCTGAGAGCAGAAGCAGCCAAACGAGAGCATTTGTTTAGAGATCGATGCACAGAAGATTTGTATACTTGGCAGGTAAATAAACACATGGACGTCCAGGATTAGCGCATGCTTAGCAAGGTTTGTATAGCTGAAAAACAACCCAAAAGATCTGTTCATCCTTCATGATGGACCACCCTTTGCGAACGGAAATGTTCATTCTGGTAAAGCCGTCCTTTTAATTGCATGATTCCAAGCGCTTATGTTTTGTATTGACAGGCCATGCTATGAACAAGATTCTCAAAGATATCATCAATCGTTACAAACTACTCCAGGGCCATAAGGTCTAGTAAGTGCAATACAATTCATTAGTAGGAGGATTAAATGATTCATGAACTGCGTTAGTTATCGACCAGGATGGGATTGCCATGGCCTTCCAATTGAGATCAAGGCATTAGAGCAAATTCGTGTAAGTTTCCAGGCTGAAAATCAGTTTTTCTGCATGATTGATGGCATTTTTTTTTTTGCGATTAGAAAAAAGGAAAGGAAGCAACCCTATCACCCACGGACATTCGCAAAATTGCTCGAGAGAAAGCCCTGTTTGAAGTCGACAAACAACGCCATAGTTTCAAGAGTTGGGGCGTCATGGGCGACTGGGAAAACCCCTACTTGACACTATCAAATGATTATGAAATCCGCCAGTTACGAGTGTTGACAGATATGATCAAGAACGGCCACATTTACAGACAATTGAAGCCAGTATATTGGTCGCCATCATCCAAATCCGCATTAGCAGAGTCAGAATTGGAGTACAGGGAGGACCATGTATCGAAATCAATTCACGTTCGCTTTTCGTTGAGAGAATTAGCTCCTGCCCTGAAGAAAAAGTGGGATTCACACCTCAGAAACCAGAATTTATACGCATTGATTTGGACCACAACGCCTTGGACCATTCCATCCAACAAGGCCATCTCTGTGCATCCTGAACTGAAGTATTCGTTAGTGCAAGTGGCTGATGGAGACAAGAAGGGAACATACATTGTGGGCACGGACCGTGTAGAGGCTTTCAAGCAGGAAATAAAGGCCGCTGATGTCACTGAGTTGGATCAAGTAGTGGGCCAAGAGCTGCTAGGTTCAACATATCAACACCCCTTAAATGGTGCTACTATGCCAGTCATCGGCGGTAATCATGTTACTGCTGAATCAGGTACAGGTTTAGTTCACACTGCTCCTGGCCATGGTATGGAGGATTACGAAGCTTGTTTGGAACACAATATCGAGATGATGAGTCCAGGTACGATCAATGTCATTTATATGGTTTCAGTAGGCTGACTGGTTTGTGTAGTGGATGACGCTGGATGCTTCACAAAGGAAGCCGGCTCTGAGCTTGAGGGCAAGATGGCATTCACGGACGGCAATGATACTGTCATTCATTTGCTTGAAAAGAACGCGGCACTTGTGATTGCGCAAGACTACACACACAAATATCCCTATGATTGGCGTACAAAGCAGCCTGTCATGCTACGGTAAGTAAAAGGCGCCAAGGCTGTTTAGCATGGTAGTTAATTTTGACCTAATACAGTGCTACTGCTCAATGGTTTGCCAATGTTGAGCATCTACAAAAGCAAGCTGTGGAGAATTTAAAAAAGATTCGTATGGTTCCTGAAGTCTGTAAGTCGCCGCTCCACATTTATGTATGCGCCTCCTTCTCATTTTCGTATTAGCTATTCGTCGTCTGGAACAGTTTACCTTGTCTCGGAAGGAGTGGTGTATCTCTCGTCAAAGATCTTGGGGTGTTCCTATCCCAGCCTTGTATGATCAGGACGGCAAGGCTCTCCTGACCGAAAATTCGGTGGAATACATTATCAAGATTCTTCAAGAAAAGGGCACTGATGCTTGGTGGGAGGAGCAGGACGACAGTATTTTTGTTGCGCCTGAATACAGAGATAAAGGAAAAGTATACAAGAGAGGCTATGATACGATGGACGTCTGGTTCGATAGTGGTACCTCCTGGACGATGCTTCAGAATATGCCAGGCAGAGATCCTCAAAAGCCTGTTGCTGATGTCTATCTCGAAGGCAGTGATCAGCATCGTGGATGGTTCCAATCCTCTCTGTTGACCTCTATTGCTGTCACTGGTAAAGCACCCTACGGAACGCTTGTTACCCATGGCTTTGCCCTGGATGAACGCGGACAGAAGATGTCTAAAAGTATTGGTAATACACTGGAACCCATCTTGATCACAGAAGGCGGGAAAGACAAGAAAAAGAACCCTGCCTATGGTAGTGATGTGCTTCGTTATTGGGTTGCCAACTGTGAATACACAAGAGACGTCAGCATTGGTCCTTCCATTATCTGTAAGTATCGCTGTGCGTTTTGTGGTTGAATCGAGAAGCTTATTGTGGAATAGCCCAAATCTCTGACAATTTGCGTAAGGTGCGCACTACAGCAAGGTTCTTGCTCGGTAATCTTCACGATTTCAAGGAGGAACACTATGTTGACTATAGCAAACTGCAACAAGTAAGTGACATTGGCCTGCGCGTACTTGAGGAGCGGTTTTGCTTATTCCAGTAGGTAGATAAATACATGCTTCATGAGCTGTACAAATACAACGATCGTGTAACAAGTGCATACAATGATTTTGCTTTCAACAGAGGTAAATAGTGTGCTTCACATGTGTGGCATCTTGTTATTCAGCATCCATCTTTAGCTGTTCAAACCATCCAGAACTTTACAAACACCACCTTATCGTCCTTTTATTTCGACACCATCAAGGACAGATTGTATAACGAATCTGAATCATCAGATTCTCGTAGAATGGCACAAACAGTGCTATACGAAGTGCTGAAATCATATACCACATCGATCGCACCTTTCGTGTGCCATACAGCTGAAGAAATCTATGAAAACTACAAGGCAATCACAGCCAGTTCTGAATCGTCTGTATTCAAGGCAGGATGGCTGAAATCTGTAAGTACCTTCTCGGCATCATTCACACTGGCGTATTAACAGAGTACTAGGAGGAGCAATGGTGTAATGAGGATTTGAATGCCAAGTGGTCGACATTGCTGCATCTCAAGGGAGAAGTGAATCAAGTCCTGGAAGCAGCACGCCAAGAAAAGTAGATGGCACTCAATGATATGCAATTGCGCCAACAACTCACTCTTTTCATAGACGCATCCGAACATCGCAAGAGGCTGATATCTCTATATACTTGGACAGCAACTCAAAATTAGGAAAGTTGGTGGATTCCGTGGATGGTGAGTGTTTTCAAGATGCTAGCACTATACTGGATGCTGACACATTGCAACTAGCTTCTGAGCTATCGTCCCTGTTCATGACAAGTCAGGTGAATATAGTGAATGGACAATCAGGTTCCATCCAAGGAGAATCTGAGAGAGATGCTGTAGTGGAAGGTACGTTGAAAGAGACATTTACATCACACACAAAGATATTCATAGTACTGCTTACAGGCGACAAGTGCAAAATTGTGCTCTCCAAATCAAAGCATAGCAAATGTCCTCGTTGCTGGAACTATCATTCCACTCAAGAAGATAGTCTATGCTCAAGGTGCTCAAACGTATTGAGTAAATAAATAATGAAAGCATGACCTTGTTATTGCTCAAAAAGGGGTAACACATACATTTATATAAAGCATTTGTTTTGGTTTTTGTATGCTCTTTCTTTTGCACTTTTTTTTTCTCTATAATAAACATGTTGAACGATGATATGGACCCTATTGCTTTTTTCGATCATCTCGCTGCTACTTCACAGTCTTCCAATGAGGATGAGATGCAGTTATCTTACGGAGGAGTAGCTGATAAACAGCAGCATGATCACAGTAAACAGCTCTTGAACAGTCGTTCGCTAGAAACTATCAAGCCACTCAGAAAAGAGGAGGAAGAGCAAGAAGAAGACCCAGTACGGCCATCGTTATCACTTCAGCAACATCCAAACAACTTTGCTTCGAAATGGCTCGAGTTGGTATCAAGCTATAGGCTAGAAAAAGAAGGTAGGTCATCGTCTACATCAACTGGAAGAGCGCTAATGGTACCGACATATAGCTCTGAGTCAACACTTGAAAGATCAACTGATTGCATTAGAGGAAATAGAAGAGCATTTCGACAAAGCCAACATTGATTTACATTCCAAAATAGAGAATTCATACCATCAACTATCGAAACACATTGCTGATCATCAGCAACACATCATCGTTGAGAAGCAGCTGTTTCATAAAGAGCAAAGCATCATAAAAGGTAACAGATTCATCAAGTATGATGATTGCAATGATTAAGTGCGAACATATTAGAGATCAAACGATTCCAGGATGAAAAGGTACAAAAGCGTGCTGTAAATGCAACAACTGCTGACATTACAGTGATAGATCAAGCTCAATGTTGGAGGACAGTTGTTTGAGACTTCACTGACAACGCTACGGAAAGATCCCAATTCCATGTTGGCCTCCATGTTCTCTGGTATGGCAAAGTTATATTACATGCAACCTTACACTGACTCAGAAAATTGCAGAGGATAGGACTATTCAGCCCGATGCTGATAATTCATACTTCATAGACAGAGATGGCACCTACTTTAGATTAGTCTTGAACTATTTGCGTGATTTGAGGGTATATGGCACATCATCCTTTTAGGTATTTTGGATACTAAAGTACATTGTAGATACCTGCGGGCATTATTGATGACCCCAAAATGTGAGGCACAAACCGTCATGGTCGTTCATATCAGAAGCTGATCTAATTTATAGTATGGATGAATTGATGCAAGAGGCAAGGTTCTACAGACTGAATGGTAAGTTTAGCTTTTTTTTTTTTCTGTGTGATGTGGAGTATTGACCCTGATTTTGATAGATTTACTCAAATTAAAGTGGAATAATCTGCCTGTCATCACACAAGGTAACCCTGGATCTGATGCTTTCTGTATACATGTGAACTGACTTGAACCATCGCTCTAGATGAATTGCACCATTTGTATCCACCTCCGCCGAGAAATGCCAATGAAATCATGATTTACAGACCTACCGTGTTCCAACTGCAGAAGACGAACCTCTCTAACCTAGACTTTTCGCATTACCATATAGATCCGAGATCTTGCTTCAAGGATAGCTACCTGGAGAACTGCAAATTCCACAATGCCAAATTTGGATTCGATTTTGATCATCAAGTGGATTTTACGTACACGTATCTAATAGATGCGACATTTCCAAAGGAAGGAACAAACAACAGAGCATCAGGAGTAGAAATCAAGCTGGAGGGAGCGATCTTGAGCGAGCATGTCGAGGACATGTTTGTTTAATGATTGGTGATGCTCAGTGACCGGTTTCACTATTTTTTCACTATACCATGCCGCAAATTTTTATTAAATTCAAATCTCTCTCCTTCCCTTATCTACACATTAAGAAATATGGTACTAAATAAACATGGCGATCCTCAAGGAATTGGCAAAATACTGACCCATTGTTCATGAATTAGCCTCAAAACGAGCATATTGAAGAGCACATCAAGCGACATGGTCGTCGTCTCGATTACGAGGAGAGAAAGTAAGTGATTTTAGAATTTGACACACTCGAGATCTCAAAGACTGATGTGCAAATTTCCTTGATGACAGACGTAAGAGAGAGGCACGTCAAGCTCACAAGGCTTCACAATATGCTCAAAAGGTGCATGGTCTTAAGGCCAAGATGCTGAACAAGAAGCGTCATGCTGAAAAGATCCAAATGAAGAAGACCATCAAACAACATGAGGAGAAGAATGCCAAGCAAAAGTCAGCCGATGCTATTCCTGAAGGTGCTGTGCCCACCTATCTTTTGGATCGTGAGGGTGAAGATCGTGCAAAGATTTTGAGTAATATGGTCAAGCAGAAGCGTAAGGAGAAGGCTGGTAAATGGTCCGTTCCCTTGCCTACTGTGCGTGGTATGGCAGAAGACGAGATGTTCAAGGTTGTAAAGACTGGTAAACACAAGACAAAGCAATGGAAGCGTTTGGTCACAAAGGCTACCTTTGTTGGTGAGGGCTTTACTCGTAAACCACCAAAGTATGAACGTTTTGTTCGTCCCATGGGTTTGCGTTATAAGAAGGCACATGTTACACATCCGGAATTGAAGGCTACTTTTTGTCTGCCCATCATTGGTGTCAAGAAGAATCCTCAATCCCCTCTTTATACCCAACTTGGTGTCATTACAAAGGGTACTGTACTCGAAGTCAATGTCTCTGAATTGGGTTTGGTTACTACAGGTGGCAAAGTTGTTTGGGGTAAATATGCTCAAGTAACTAATAATCCAGGTAAGATTGTAAAGTGTGTTGGGCAAGGTGTGTATTGTGTTTCTGATGGACTTTGATGATAGAAAACGATGGCTGTATCAATGCCGTTCTACTAGTCTAAACTCTTGAATTCAGGAAAAGAATGGCTCTCTTTTTTGTACATTTTATCTGTCGTTTTTTTCTTGGTTTTTTTTTCATTCGTATCTTTTCATCCTTTTTTTATTCTTTTACCAACTCATGATATTAATAAAAAAAAGGTCTGTTTGTTTGCTTATTGTGTAGAAAAGCAAGGTGTTCTTTATTGTTTTGGGTTGTATCATCAAGTTGAGCTTCACCATTCACCAGATGTCGTGCTATATCTCGAAATCAAGACACCAATGATTGGCATTTGGAATTCAACTCGCATTTGATCGCTACTATCTAGTGTCATTTTGCAATTATCATGCATCACTCCTGTCAGTTGTAGCAACTACACACACTCACACAGCCCACATTGCACAAGGTAATAAGCCGAAGATGTCTGTCGCTAGCCAGCCTTGGCTACAAAAGAAGCTTATCAACGGCTCACTTATTAAATATCATGTGATCAGTCAATATTATCAGTCGATCAAACAAAGATAAACTTGAAATTTTGTATCAAACTATTAGCCACATGTCAAATGCTAGTTACAACAAAGGAGGCGTCTCTTCAGTTGAGCAAAATAAGCTTTATAGAAGCACAAATGGCTCTCTCCGCCAGAACGACACCTTGGTAGCTAATTGATATTTTTCAATATAAAGTTTGAAACAGTTCAATCTTGTAATATTGGCAAAGTTCGCAATGATGGTAGCGTGCTGATGTTTACACATCCCATTGACAGTAGGCTGATTACCGGCGTACATACAAAAATGCAGAGTGTTTGAAAAGCTAGCTATCATGACGCTCTGTTTCGAAGTTTTGTACTAAAGGACTTGATGTAAAACATCGCGATTCTTCAAATGCAAAACGTATGTGCATCTAGGTGAGTATTGTACATGGAAAAGGGCCAATAATTGGGAATTTGCAGGCATGTAGACATACAAAGATGCTTTTATAAAGTATGACTAAAGCAGGTGGTTGAGAAATGCAAAGGGATTACATTTGCAAATGTACCATGTAACGCATGAGTACCATGAATCAGACTAAGCTTGTATTTAAAGCTGCATGTGCAACGAAAGCTTTCGTTTTCATTGCTGCTTAATTACATTGATTCAGAGAATAAACTGCTGGTTTTCGGTAAATTCTGTTTTTTTTTTGGGGGGGCTAAACGGTAAATCTGGTAATCAAGATTACAGAAAACTATTTCTCCGTCCTTTTTTTCTTTCATACCAACATGGAAGGCCTGTTAGACGCTGTGAGATCAAGACAAGCAAAGAAAGCTTATGCCACATAAACTTGTCAGATGAAAGAAAGCTTAAACAAGAACATGTGCTAGCATATTTATGGACAGCAATGTGGTTTTATTAATGTAAATCACAATCCAACGTGTGCACCATGAATTCTGACGACGATCTCCGAAAACTGGCATCCACCTTCCGGATATGTGTGTGTTTCCTGACTAAACGGCGATCTTTTTTGGTTTGCAAATGTACCACGCACTACAGAAAAATCACCAATTTTATATGATGGTGATACAGAGGAAAACCCTATGTAAAAGATACGGTTTTTTATTGTAAAATGGACCGTCTTCCCGTTTTGAAAAATCGTACAGATGTTGATGAGATTTGGCTGAGGGGAGCTGTTCGGGTCAACATATTTACGGCCAACTATAATTCAGAACAACATGAGGTTCTCTGTTATGTTTGTGTATTGTGTGGCTGAACCGAGGGATGCGGGCTTTTTCTTCCTCCCAATCCCCCCCCCACTTTCTGCAAAAGAAAGACTCATCAACCAAATGTAATGTATAAGATCCTATTCTGCTTCCCTCCCCCCCTTTTAGACATTTCATGTTGTAAATGTGAATTTATTTGTTCTCCTGAAGGGATTTGAATATGAATAAATAAGCAATATGCTCATGATTGGACGAAATCTACATCATCGTCGTCATTTTACTACAGGATCTTGGGTGCCCAAGGCCCAAGGTGACCCGCATTTGCATTTGTGAAACTCTCCTTACGTCATGGACAGTTACTCCGATTATTATTATCAAGTATTTCCTGGTTTGGCCCCCCTTAAAAAAATAATAAATAAGAAAAATTTTATACCTGATTAAATTGATTTCCTGCTCTTTCCTCTCTTCTTCTTCTTCTTTTTTTTCAAGAACGCATCACTAAAAAATGGCACAACCTACCACAGCATCAGCTCCCACATCATACAATAACTTTACAGATCAAGCATCTCTCCTGGAAAGAAGACAGCAGAATGCTCCCTTTCTGCAGCAACTAGAATTGCCATCATTACCGCCTTTATCGCAGTTACTGACATCTGATTCTACCGCAAACAAAGACCAACCAACACCCAATACACAGGCAGCAACTGAAGCCGCTATCGCAGCTGCTACAGCAGTGACAGCATCCATGATCACATCTACCACACAGCCCATCATCCAAGAAACATTTTTACCTACTCATCAAAAACCTACAACTAATAATCTTCTCTACGGTTTCCAACAACAACCTACAACATCTACATCTCCCATCATGACATCCAACGCTCTTTTAAATGACTCAGTGGCTATCTTCCCAACTACAACGGATGCTTCATTAGATCAAACACTCATGGCTAGTGATCATCACTTTTTGGATCCGCAACAGCAAATGTTTAATGCAGCAGCTGCAGTGGCAGCAGCCACCGCGGGCCTGACCGATCCACATGGAGTAAATCCCACCATGAGTATGCCACCTTCTTTTATGGAGAGACAAAGACAATCCTCAGTATCGTCCACATCATCTGATAAAGTATATTCATTTGTAGCTATTCCTGGCACTAATCAAAGAAAGAGACCTCGCAGAAGATATGATGAAATTGAGAGACTCTATCACTGCAATTGGCTTGGATGTACCAAGGCTTATGGCACTTTGAATCACTTAAATGCACATGTGAGCATGCAACAACATGTAAGTAGAAATACACATTTTGTTATCGCATCCATGACTGATCCCTCTTTTCCGTTCCATTTTCCAGGGACCTAAACGTCATCCTACTGAATTTAAGGAAATGCGCAAAGAATGGAGACGTCAAAAGAAAGAGCGAGACGCAGCAAAGAAGTCAGCAGAGCAAGCTTATCGTAATCAACAAGAATCCATGATGCAGCAGCATGTCCAGCAGCAGCAGCAACATCAGCAACATCACCATCATCCTCAAACTCATCATCAAGCCATGCCATTCCCTTTTCAACAGTCCTTTATGCCCAACAACATGGCTCTTGGTAACTTTTATTAAGATATATGAAAAACTGGCTTTTTTTTATACATTCAACAACATATATATATATATTCTGTACATTTTCTTGTGTTTCAAAACAAGGAGAAACTATAAAAAAAAAGGGGGAATTTTTCCGCAAAACAAACAATTCACACAATACTCGCTTCCTCTTCTCCCTTACCTTTCCCCTTATATTTATTCACTGTATATTTCTCTCTTCAAAACCTTTACATTTTGATCTCTTTTTTTTTTTTTTTTTTCTTCTTTTTTTTCTCCTTAAATGTCATCAACAAAATCTTATAATAATAAACATAATGTTATTACATTTATTCTCACAAGCATCTTGTAGCACACAAACACAAAGAAAATAAAATTTTACTAAAAGAGGGATCACCATTAGCTGTTTTTGTTTTCTGAAAAATAGATAAGATGACGTTTTTTTATTAATGTTGTACGCCTCCAGGTGAAACTGTTTGTACATATCATCATTTTAGTCTTGTACAGCGTTCAAAATGAAAGATTTAACTTGGTTTGTTGGACACAGTTCAATAGGTGATTTGCCATCTGCGTTGAGAGTATCCAGATTGCCATTATGTTCGATCAAAAGTAACGCGCAATCACCGTGTCCTTCCTCACATGCATTGTGCAAAGGTGTATTGCCTTGAGAATCTTTAGGGTTAACTCTTGATTTCGCATCTAATAATAGTTGAATAATCTTTATGTATCCTCCGCAGGCAGCACGATGCCTGATACGATGATGAGTATTATGTCATGAGGATATGTAATCAAGTAGATACTCACAACGGAGTTTGCTTGTATCTGTTCAATTGATTCACGGGCGCTTGATGTTCAATCAACAATCTGGCAATCTATTGGGAATGATATCAGGTTTAGGTCCATACATCATCAAACAATGAATCGACTTGCCTCAATTCTGTTCTTGGATGCAGCGTAATGCCTAGACATGCATGTCAGTCCCGATCCAAGCATAAAGTTTACAGAACTTACAATACAGATTGCTTTGTCTCATTCTCCAACGATGGATCTGCCCCATTTTGCAATAGCAATTTGACAACTTCCAAATGACCGGCAGACACTATGACGTATAGACAGTTAACTTCATCATAGCTTCTTTTTTTTTCTCTGGTCAGTTTCTATACCAGCAATCATCAATGGTGTCCATCCCGCCTGTTGTAATGTATGGAAGGAGAGAGAAAAAGAGAGAGATCAGAAATTTGGTTAAATTAAATATATATATATAAAACAGATTAACAATGCACAGATACATGTAAGTCAATCACCTACCTCTTTATCTTGGCTGTTTACAACGGCTCCCTTCTTGATTAAATAATCTGCGATGTCTGCATGCCCTCCTGAAGCTGCCCAATGAAGAGCATTACGTCCATCCTATAAGACATAGTTTTACTGGAAATCCGAGATTCCAAGCACTGCATATTACGTACCTCATCAAAGGAGTTGATTAAACCTTCTTCCTTCTCGAGCATTTGTTGAACGATGAATAGCTTTCCCTCATATGCTGCTTGATATATGGACAACATTTTGTTTTATGCGAATTGAGGTGTGAATGCGTCGAAGGCGACGTAATTTCAGCCTTTTCCCATGATAAAAGAGTCACCCTTCCCTTGGGGGGGAGCTCATCTAATAGTTTATCCGTGTAATAAATCTGGTGAGGAGTTTCTACAATTTCAAAGTACGTATTAATAGGAAGCTCTTTAAGCTTTGGTATTACACAACCAAACCCATGAGTCATCCTATTCAAAGATAGCAATACGGTTTACTGCTACTATGCGGATTTATAACAAGGTTATTGAATAGAGTTTTTGTATATGACACAGTTGGAATAAAATTCTTTATACATTCATTGAAAGCAAAAAAAAAAATAAAATAAAATAAAATAAAAGCGATTACTCAAAGTATGCAAGTCCGTATGCAGAATACCAGAAATAGAAGTTCGGTTCCTGAAATAAGCAAGATCGGCATACTTTAAACCCAATCAAATAGGAAGTTGTCAAAATTAGTTTCCAAAAATAGAATAGCCAAAAAAGACAAATTGCGAACTAAGGTGTGCATTTTGAAATTTAGTTTTTTTTTTTTTTTTCTTCGAAAAAAATTTCACTGGTCAACATGCTGCTGTCAAGGTTTATTGGCTGCATTTCGCAGTAATGTAATGTATGGGACAATGGGAAAAAAAGTTCATTTAATTTGCAGAAATGGTACATTCGTTATTTACACTAATTTGTACAAGTTTTTTTTTTTTTTCTTGAATGAAAAAAAAAAAAAAAAAAAAAAAAGAAAAATAAGATGAATCTATATACGGTTATTTATATTTAGACAGGGAGGTGAGAAGGGGAATACTTTTTTCAATTGAGGTGGACTTGCAGTTGGTGCTGACACATTTTTTTTGTGAATGGATTGGCTTCTTCGAAGTCATATTCAGCAAAGATGTCATCCTCAAACTTTCGCTTGTTTGCTGTAGAATGAGGTTTAACAAGATATTCTTCTTCGCCTTCTGATAATTCCGGCATATCGTTCCAATCCAGTAGAGATAACTCATTGACAGGTGAGTTAACGGTGGTAGAGGCGGCACTGCTTGACGCAGATGCTGGCAAGCCCAAAATAGCCAATAATTCGTCATCATCGATGACATCGATGGGTGATAGTAATGCAGGATGCTGTGGCTGTGGTTGTGAGAATGGTTGCAATTGTATGGGATGTTGAGATAGCTGTGGTTGTGGCTGGTCATCTTCATCATCAATATCTTTGATGACAATATTAATATCATCGATTTTCAGAGGTTGAATCAACAGCATGCTTGATGTTGGGTGCAATGACATTGACGTGAGAGGAGGGGCAGGTAGGTGAAAGAAGGGTATTGAGATTATTTTTTTTTTTTAGTTTTAAATTTTTATTTAATTTTTTTATAACAAAAGAAAAAGATATCTTTTATTTATACTAAAAAGTTAAGCGGCCAATTCCTATTTTTCTATTACTTTTTTAGTTATTTGTGGTTGGACGAGTTGAACCTGATGGAATCGGCACACCGCGACAAAGTGGACACCTATTTTGGCCTTCCGTCAGCCATTTATCAATACAACCTTTGTGAAATCCATGGTGACATTCCAGTACACGGACATCATCTTCTGATTGGTAATTGTCCAAACAGACCTGACACCCTTCTGTATTTCCAATCATACTTTGTTTCAATTGTTGGGTATATTTCACAATTGGGGCGTAATTGTCGATCGCCTCTTGAGTGACAGTGGGTAATATGGCTGGGCCAAGCAATTCTGCTAACTGGATCAAATCTTCGTAGGTGGGATTGTCACGCATGAAGTTCCGTACACGAGGACCACTCAAAACCCATACAGTCCACTGTTCTCCTCCAGTTGGTGAAGTATCTGTTGATGTTGTTCTTGAGCGCTGTTGCTCCTGTCCTTGCTGTGCTCTCTCTTGTTGTCTTTGTTGTCTTTGTTGTCTTTGTCTTTGTTGTCTTTGTTGTCTTTGTTGTCTTTGTTGTCTTTGTTGTCCTTGTTGTCTTTGTTGTCCTTGTTGTCTTTGTTGTCTTTGTTGTCTTTGTTGTCTTTCTCTGATTCTCGCGCTTGATCTCGTACCTGGTCTCTGTGTGCTTCTATTGGTGTCTTCATTGGTATTCAAGAAATCTGGCAGAGGCATGGTTGTGGATGGATTTTCAACATTGGATGTTGTAGTTGGACTTGCAGATCTTCTTCCACATATCAACATAGGCAAGAACATCAACCGACTCACTTGACTACTTCCCCTATTCAATGTTGGTGCCTCTCCACCTGCATTTACAGCTGTTGATGTCGCAGATCTCGTATTATCGGCGCTGCTGTTACTATTGCCTGATGTGTTTCCAGTTGTGTTATTTGTAGATGCGTTATTGCCAGTATTCTCTTCATCTGTTGACGCTGCGATGGGAGTAATTAAAATAGGCAATCCAAGGGGTCGCAAGAATACATCTTCTGAACGTCCAGGTTCCATCAGACGAAACAAGTCTGCTGGTAAATGAATAGTCAACCGTTGCCTTGCTTGTGGATATCTGGATGCAGGAATTGATATTTGACCACTACGAACGGACGATAATACTGCTTCAGTCATGACTTGCGTAATCATTCGAGCAGACGAACTATTCACAGACTCTGCTGATTCCTCTGATGTAGTGGTAGTGGTAGTGGTAGTTATGTTTAATATATTGGTTGGAGAAGCAGAGGTAGGTCTATTTCTTGCTAATGCAGTCACAGCATCCTGGGTATCTATTTCAAAAGACACGAGTGTTGTAGAATCTGCTTCTTCGTTCTCGCTTTCCCCTTGTTGTTGTTGTTGTTGGCGTTGTTGTTGTTGTTGTTGCTGCTGTTGTTGTTGTTGCTGTTGTTGTTGTTGTTGCTGCTGCTGTTGTTGTTGTTGCTGTTGTTGTTGTCGTTGCTGTTGTCGTTGTTGTTGTTGTTGTCGTCGTTGTTGTCGTTGTTGTGTAGCCGCATTGAGATGTTCTTCTCGTATACGGGCCCTTCTCGTTCGTCTTTCGCTTCGGCTTTGGCTATCATTTAATGATCTCGAGACGGGGTTGTTTCGTTCGACGTTCAATCTAGCACTAGGTCGAAAGATTCTTCCACGTCTAGGTGTACTCTCGTTGGTATCATTAGTATTGTTGTTGCCGTTGATTTCGTTCATGATTATATCATTGTTGTTATTGCCAGTGGGGTTTGATGATTGAGAAGACTGTCTTTGACCCATTGTATCGTGCTACTTTCTTTGTTATGGATAAAATGTACAGGTAGTATAGAAAGCTAAGCAAAAAAAATAATATAAATTTTTGCTGCGTGCTCAATCAACATCCAATTGCCAGCACCTTCTAGTGGAAATGCACTCCAATTGGTTGATAATTATTGAAATACAGACATCTCTTGGCTCGAAATGAGGAGACCCAAGCCGGATGAGTCGAAGTGCTACATTCACTCACGACTCCCACCCTAAAATTTCAATGGATGATTCTCTTCTGAAAATATACCTGCATGAATGGGATAGCAAAACTCTAATATTAATATAGGGCATTTCACGGTAAGCTGAAATTTTAAGCTTTTTACTCTTTCGCTTAGCAACCATGGGTATTCAAGAACAGAGTATACAGTTTTCTTTTATGAATAAAGGTACTTTTATTCAAGAGGACCAAACTATATATCACCATCAACACTTATACAATTCATTTGAGGTAATATTTGTTTTCTTTTCTTTTCTTTGATGATGGCTTTGAGGTGGAAGCTGTTTCTGTTGAACTACTTGCTGCTGGCATTGGGGAAGGATTTTTGGCTGTGTAAAGCATATTCAAATGCCAATTGCACGATTCAAATAAACTGTTCTATACCATATCATCATAACGTAATAAATTTATCGTCCCTAGACACTTTCAAAGCCTCAAAAAGGAAAGAGGTTGATCTAACAAGCATTTTGATAGACTGGCATTATAAAAAAAATAGAATGCAAGGAGAATAGCATGACTAACGGTAATGCTATGTTTTGCCACCTACTTTCCATACGCTTCAAAAGCGTCTATTACTGTATTGCCTTCACGATGAAAAGGGCATTGGGCTACACCAGCCAAAATTAATTCAAACCCAGGCTCATAGTCTGTTCCAGATTGGCCAAATTTTGATAATCTTTGACTCGATTGGACTATGTTGCCAGATTCGACTATATGAAGTGTGATGATCATTCCATGCTTCCTAATACATTCTTGAAGTGCTTTTGAAGGCGCATCCAATGGTACCAGGTAAGATAAATGCTTTGAATTAACTTGTTGAGCAATTTATAGAAATATGAAAACAGGTTTCTGGCCAAAATGTCGAAAATTTACATATCAAAGTCCCTCAAAGATGATTCCAGGAGTTACGTTAGATCGATAGAGACATTTTGATTCAAGATATACCATAGTAAAAGTCTTTATTTTCAAGGTGAAAAACGTAATCGTTTGATTTTCAATGAAAACCATGAGGGGGGGTACCTCATGCTTTTTGGTCGAATTTTGTTCATGTTTTTTTGATCCCCAAAAAGTTGAGCAAAGGTGTCAGAAAGTAACTGCCAGATGAGAGCAACTGTTTGGTCCTATTATGACAATCTAAAACGGCCTTGAACGCGAGAAAACGCAGTTCAAATGCATTCAAATTTTGCTGTATTATGGACACTAAGGACTAAAAAGTGGAAATACCAGTATGCTACTTGCCCGTATATGAAGTAGCTACTTGTATATGGAGGTAGGGCATCAGATAAGAGTCAGATCCACAGATATTATAAAGGGTTTTCATGTGTAAGTAGAGGGTCAACATGAAAGTAGCAGTGTTTTGATAAAATACACAGGGCAATCGGCAGTGCAGGCTGCCACTACGTGAGTTGGTTCTCGTCGAAGCGACGCGAAGGTAAGGAACCATCCGAAGCGTAAACACGCTTGTTAGGTTAGTTGTATTGATCTGGGGTTACATTTAACTGCAAACGACAATGAAATTTGGTCGAGCCAACCAACACAGACTGTGTCCCTGCAAGATGACAACCCCGTTAGGATGTCGAGATGAGACCTTACTAATCACTGTTTCCATGCAACCATGATGATGAAATTATCCATTTAAGCGACTACCTCGGTAAATCACAAATAGAAACCATAGAAGTGCTTACATGAAATGTTTACAATGGCCGATTGACTGAAATCGAGGAACAAGGATACTTCTTGAATTCAATTGCATCTGCCGTATTCCATTTCCTTTTTCCAAATTGAAGTGGCATGACAATAACACAAGCTTTTTATTAGATTGAAACGTGCTGATTAAACTAAAACCTTGCGCTGTATGTCATCTGTTGGTTCATTCCTTGAATTTAAATGCATCGCTTTTGGGCTCAATAATACACCTCGTGAGGATTCAATTGAGAGCTTGTATAGCAAGTCCTGACTCCTCGTTCGTTTTCGTTAAGAACTGGACGTCTTATTTGCGCGGTCGTCTTCATACGATAAATAACAGGTGGAAATGTAGTATCTGAAACACATGCCCATTGACGATCAGATCTGATCAAGTTTCTTCATCATTGCAATACTAGTCATATCTATGACACGTAGCATCATTAAAATCCCTCATTAGCAGTAGTATCTCAAGATCTCTCAGATAAAGATCCAGCGACTGACTAAACCTTTCCAACGTGTGTGGCATTTTCACATAAAACATTACCTCACCTTACTACATTATAATATGTTATGATTATTTAGGTTTTAAAACATCTCACATATGACAGTTGAAATAACCATGAGATGTTTAGATAAGGCGTGTGTTTATTATAAGATTAAGAGTATTAAGAAAATTACAAGATGATATATATATATATGTATAAGAAATGCGAAATAGAGAGTGTTGATTTACTCTGGTAGTAAGGCAATACGATCGTTCAGCCAAAGACAATCACCAGCCCATCTGTCTCTCTCTTTGGCCAGTTGCTCCTTTCGATCATCCGATTGACGTTGATGAATAGCCTTTTCCAATTTGAGACGGCATTGTTTCTCTTCTTCCAGTTGAGACTTTAGCTTCATAATCATAGCGAGCAAGACTTTAGCATCTTCCGTATCCTTTATGGTAACAAGAGCAGGTCCTGATGATAGAGCAGGTGGACATGAAGGACGTCGAAGACGATTGCCTGTAGCAGCTGTGATGGGTTGGCGGCAGTGAGGACAGGCTTGCTTATCTGCTGAAGTGCCTGTACTGGAACCAAAAGACGCTTGCTTGTCAGTTTCGTCGTCAACTTCGTTTGTAGTTTGCACTTGAACATGTCGAAGTCTGACTGACCTCCTTTTCAAAGCTGCTTCAGGCACAGAGCGAATATGCGCGCTGGTGCTTGTACCACCATCAGAAGAGCACACGGACGTTGCAGTTGCGATGGCAGCAGATGCCAATGCAGGTGGCAGTGGTGCAGGGCGACGCGGGTTGTTTTGTTGCTGCTGTTGGTAATTATTAGGTGATGTTTTAAATGCATAAGGTGGGTGTGGAAATTGCAGCTCGCTCATGACAGTTGTGAATGGTGGTAAAGGGGGGAGCGGCCCATATGCTGTTGTTGTAGATGTTATAAATGAATCCTTTTCAGAATTTGTTTCGCTGTAGATGCCAGAATCCCTCAATGCGTTATTTACTTGCTGCTGTTGCTTCTTTGCCTTGCTCGCTTGATGACGAGAAGTTGTATTGGTGGACGTACTGGTTGTATTGGTGGACGTACTGGCTGTATTTGACTTTTTGCTGGATTCCTTCTTGGGCTGTTGAGGTGTATCAGCAGGATAATAATCGTATACCGGCAGAGGAATATAATTCATCTTTTTTTCTACTTGAGTTTGCAATGTTGTAGCGTTGTTGCTGGTAGGGAGTGCTGCTGCTGCTGCTGCTGCACCACCAGTTGCAGACCTGAGCACGGGCATTGTAGGTCTTTTACGCAATCTTTTTAGCAGACGAGATGCTCTTTTAAGCTGCTGTTGCTTCTTGGTGTCTTGCTTTTCATATTCCTCAGGGCCGGTGGTGGACAGGAACTGTGCCAACAACATGGATTCATTTCTCGAATCATGTGCTATAGCTGCCATTGTCCCGCTATAACTACTGCTGCTGTCATCCATGAAGGTCTCCTCCTCCAGCTCTGCATCCGTATCGTCTTCCTCCAGCTCTTCCTCTTCAAATATGGCCACGTTTTTCATTGGTTTTAGCACTGCTCTTTGCTGTGAATAAACCTTGCTGTTTGTATGGTTGTTGTTCATTAGTTTAAACATGATGCTTAATCAGAGCAATAAAAACAAGACGAGGAAAAGAATACAAGGAGAAGAAAAAGAAAAAGAAAGATAAAAAGATCCCAAGAAGCCATGTCCTTTTTATAAAGATACATGTCTCCATGACCTCCCTCCCTTTTTTTTTTATCAAAATGACAATAAACCTTGAGACATCATACACACATCTTTTATGGTATGGTTCAAGGAGGCTTTTCTCTAGATATGTGCGCTTTGATATGGGTTACACATCATGGATTCATATAAAATTCAAGGAGTAAGTTTAATACAACAACCCTATAATGGACGGATAGATGAATGAATAATGATGTGTGTGTGTGTGTGTGTGTGTGTGTGTGTGTGTGTGTGTGTGTGTATGTGTGTATGTGTGTGTGTGTGAAAAGAATCCCTTTTTTATGATGGCTCCTATAGAGAGCATGCTCCCCTTCCATGGACATTTGCATCTACTTTACATGTGGCATGGTTTATTAGACTCAAGGTTCGCTGCTATTAGTACTCAAGTCGTCATCGTCTTCCTGTTCATGTTCCCATTGCTGCAGCAGTCGCTGTTGTTCCAAAATACGCTTGTGTTCACGCGCTTCCACTTGTTTGGGAATAGACATCTCATGAGTATACATGTCAGGGTCAGAGGTTCTTTTGCGCAATCGATGATGGCCTGAATGATGAAATGTTGTCCTAGTAGGTGAAGCAGACAAGGGTGGTTGATGCTGCAATGGTGGTGTGCTGCTTCTACTGCTGCTATCCGCCCTAGTGATTACTATCGATCGATCGTCAAACATGCTCGTGCTGCTGCTCACTACTGTCGACATCCTACGCTTGTGAATGCCAACCAGTATAATGCCCTTGGATTCGTCTTTAAGCATCTCTTTCGTGCGCAGTGCCAGCATTTCCTTTTCGTGGGCCATGGCTTCGGTGGCTTCCTTGGTCATGATCTTGGCTGCCAGCCCATTCTTTGTCGCTGCAGTAGCTGCTGCAGTCGCTGCAAATGCCGCTTGCTTGGATGCTTCTGCTACGGCTGCTGGATTACTGCTTTTAGCACTCTTTGTACTAGCTGCAGAGCGTTTCCATTTTCGCCATCCCTCGAAATCAATTAAAGCTTGCATACAACCCCATTCCATAATCTTCTTTTCCAGCCATTCTAGACTAACTGGCTTTGTTAAAAAGTCGTTGCAACCAGCTGCCAATGCTGCTTGTCGATCTGATTCCAACGACGATGCAGTGAGTGCCACAATGATGACAGGTGACTGGAACGAAGACACATTGCTTGGCGAGGAAGCAGACGGTGTAGGTGATTCTTTCTCAATGTCCTCTTTCTTGATCTTTTTCTTCTCCTCCTCTTCATCCTCCTTTTTCTTGCTGGGCACTTCTTCTTCCTCTTCTTCTTCTTCTTCTGGCACGGCAGCCATCTCTGCTGTGTCTTGGTCTGCTGCCATTGCTGTGGTAGCATTGGATGGTAGCACGCCAATCTTTCTCTCCTTTTCAATGCTTCGGATCATTTTAGTAGCTGCGATACCATCCATGACAGGCAATTGAATGTCCATCTTGCAATCTGGTTAGCACATGTAGACACGCTTATCGACCGCTAACTTACCAAGATGAGGTGGAAACTTCCTCCTTTCCACTTTTCGACTGCCTCCTTGCCGTCTGAAGCAACAGAGAACTTGATGCTGTGCTTCTTCATCCAGGTTGATAAGATGGCTTGGTTAATCATATTATCTACAATCACACAAAAATAAGGAGTATGTACTAAAAGCACTCGTACCAATGTGTTACATTACCTTCGACAATCAACACAGTAATAGGAGGACTCTGTTTACCAGGCGAACTAGTTTTTTCCTTGCGCTTACGATTGCTGATCTTGAAGTTGAACTTGGACTTGGGTTTGGTCGTCGTTGTGGTAGCAGATGGTGGTGGTGGTGTGACAGCAGCAGAGATGGGTGTAGACACTGCTGTTGTTGTTGCATTGGAAGCGATAGAGCTTGGTGAGGCTGTGGGTGGCATTGATTCGTCCGTTATTACTGCTGAGATGGGTGAAGCAGAAGGAGGAGGCAATGGAGGGGAGAGAGTCGCTCTGGCTGCCTTTAATGGTTCGACCACAGACGCATTGCTATTTTTATTTGATCTTGATGTTAGTATCTGTGCGTGGGTTGGCATCACAGGTAATTCCATCGAAGACTGCTGGCCGCTTCCTCCCTCTTCGTTGGTTGATGGTGTCAATTGATCTTGGTTGATGCTCTTGAGAATGCTAGAGGGTGAGACAAAGTTCAGTGGCGGTGATGCTGCTGCTGCTGCTGCTGCTGCATCAATGGCGTCTTGCTCCTCCTGTTCAGTGGCCTCTGTCACAGGTGATGAAGTCGTCTTACCGGCAATGCCATGAGGTGACGATGTAGGAGATAGCGAGAGATCGACCAACGTGCGTCTTCCGGAAGGCACCATAAATGTACTGCTATGCGATCTTAATCGCCGTTTAATCTCGCTTGGTGTAGCGTTACTTCCTGCTGAACTGCTACTGCTGACACTGCCTTTGGTACCATTCGCACTACCAGGCGTAGCGAGTGGCGGATTGCTGACAGGGCTGGATATCATGTTGTTGGTATTCACGGCTGTCAATAGCGGTGATGTATTGAGTTTGGCAGGTAAATTGGGACCAGTAGGGCGAGAAGAGTCGAAAAAGTAGTTGGTCTTTTCAGATTCCATCTGAAGGTTACTAGGTGAATGCAATCCGCGTGCTGTAGAGATAGTTCTTCTGCCAGGAGAAAATCGGTTCATGTCGTGTGGTGTCATGAGCGGTGGTTGTGCGCCTATGCCAGGCGTCACGGCCGTGCTGGTGCCCGTAGTGGAGTTGCTGCCTGACTCTGCTGGTGAGTAGTGATGTTGATGATGGTACAAACTGCTCATACTGCCAAGACTAGGGGCAAACGGACTTAGGGGCGACGTCGCAATGGGAATAAACTGGGGATCAACAATAGCGTTGTTCCATGCTGTGTGAAGCGCTGTAAGGAATCGTCGAGGGCCAGCAGGCTTAGGCACCACGACCACGCGAGGCATGTAGGGCGTCTGGGTGAGACTGGAGAACCAATGGATGGTATCGCGCACACGCTTGTAGTTGTTCAATGATGTGAAAAAGATAACAGCCACCGTGCCATAAGCGCTCAAGTTCTCTGCTGTTCCACCTTGACGAGACCTTGATCTACGGTGTCGACGGGATTGTGAAGGGTGATGATGTTTTTCAGTCGCTGGTACCACAGGCTTATCACGGAACTCTCGCAGCTTCTTTTCCAGTGTCATGATATCATCATCAATCAAGATGAATGTGGGTGGGATGGAGTGAATATGGTCTTCCTCGATAGCTGGTGAAGGTACCTTTTTAGAGATATCGCTGCCAATGGACCGATTGGACGCAGGAGATAGATTCGCTTGTATGGTTTCGAGTGGTGTCTTGATGGGTGGCTGTTGAGAGCTTACAGAAGATACTTCTGAATCTGACCCAAATACGGTTTCGTTTTGCTGCAGTGTCTCCTCCTCGTCTCCATTGTAGGTCATCAAAACGGGCAAATGGCTGATGTCTGTGTTCCAACCGGTTAAGCAACTAGTTAAATGCTTTGCGAAAATGCTTCTCTCGGGAGCATACAAAATGATCTTGACGCCCTTGAGATTGTTGATAAACATGGAGAGGTCCTCCAGGGTGGGTTCGTTGGAGAAGCGAATGTTGGACAGCTGTTTCTCCAGAATTTGTGAGGGCTTTTCAATCAAGAGCAGCTTCTGGTCACTGTTGCGTCCAGGATATAGTTCCAGTGATACTTCCACTCTGGTTTTGTTTTTGCCCAAATCCTCTAGTTCCATCTTTCCCCCAATGTAATCCAATAGTCGAGCTGTGAAATTGGCGTTGGGTATCAGCGCACCAGAGGAGAGGCCCGCTGGAATGGCAGGTGAAGCAACCTGCACAATGTCGAATATTACTTTGACTTTGGGTGTTTCAGGGATCGAGGCAATGTAGAGTCCTAGTTCGATGCGGGCACCTGGTGTGCATCCTTCCAACAAATTTCGTAGTAACTATATAGAGCATTAATCAATGCACATTTCACCAGTTGCTATATTTGACTTACATTGATCAAGGCATGTTTGATGGCATCTTCATCGCCGATCACATTTGGATAGTACAAGCCATTGTCCATGTGGTAAATTATGAAATGAACACCCAATTTAGCAGACATACCAGCCAAGGCATCACCTACATTTTGCAGCAATTCTCCCACATCAAAATCTTGGCTCACATTGGATTTTACTCTCTCTTGTTCTGGTGTGTCATCCAGCGAAGTCGAGTCTCTCAGCATACGGGCTACAAGGTTCAAATGCGAGCTAATGTGGCAGGCTTGTTTGATGGTGGTATTGATGGCAGAGATGCTGGCAATGGGAACAGCGATAGAGCAAGCGCTCAGCAGTTCATGTGTGTTGGACAGGATGGAGCAAGGTGAGAACTGTTCTAATGTGGCTATGACCATCAATGCCGCATCTCGCATCTCCTGGGATACTGTAGATAAAAACATCGTTCTCTTGTCACTGTAGTCCTCCAATGCTCGGTCAATGGCCTGTTGTGTTGTTGTTTGCTGATCTGTCTGTAGTTGCATCATTTCAGTCTGCAATTGTTTGTATGCAATCGACAGTCGTTCTCCAATGTAGAAGAGGACACAAGAGAGCACGATTGGTAATGCTGTTTCGTTGTGTGACCAACCAGTTACGACCAGCATAACTATTGCACTATATCGAAAATACACAAGCGAATGGACCATATTATCGGATCGACAATCGCCCAACATGAACCACACCAACAACAGCATCCAGCCTCCCAGCAATAGTGAATGGAATGCGCTGGCTGTGGGTTTTAGCAGGGCGAGATAGGCTGCACTGGAAACACACAGCAGGGTAGCCACTGTCGCAAGCACTGATATCTCTCGTAATACCGACGTATATTTCACAGTGAGGGTGGGTATCGAGGGTAATTGGATGTCGATGACTTTGTCGTCTGCAAAGGCGTCTTCTTCAAAGCTCTGTTGTGATAGCCAAATGGACCGTAGATTGGACAAACGAGGCCTTGTTGCTGTAGCAGCTGCCTTTTGTTTGTTGGTAGCCAATTTGTCGTTAAGATTGGATGGCAGAGAAAATGTGGGCAAAGGTGCTGCTGTGGTTGCCTTCATGAACGCGTCTTGCGCCTTGCTGTCTATAAATCGAGCTTCGTTTTGTGATGTTGCCTCTTGTGGCTCAAGCATGTGGATTTTAGTGTGAAGAAACAAGAAGGAGAGAAAAAGGGAAATAATAAAATAATAAAAAAAAAAAAAAAAAAAAACTAACTAGCGACAACAAAATTAAACAGAAAATGATACATCGAACAAATTGGAAGAATGGGTAATGATGATGCTGTTGATTTTTTTTTTTTATTATTATTATTTCATAGGTGAACCTTGTCAAGCTGAAATCCTGGTTGCAATGTGTCGCCTTGTTGAACTACATTCAAATCGTGCTTGAGAATCGTCTTTTGATCCTAATGGCATCATCATGAGTCTTACATTCAGGGGGGGTTTGTGCTTGAATTTACCTCTCCAAAATGAAAATGACCACTAAAATGTTGATCATTCAAAACGAATGGGAACCAGTATCTATCGTCTGACCACATCTGATCAAATGGAATCTGGTCAAATGCGTACCATTCGGGCCGCATTTCCTCAGTTCTGTATATAAAGTGGAAGCCAAGTTTTTATGATTTAGATGAGGATGCTGTCAAACTTACTCTGTAGGTGTGCCCTTGTAGGAGGTGGTAATAAATACATGTGTCTCTAACCCAACAAGGTCCTTTTCAAATGTAAACATGAGCATGCCCACTCGCTCCATGTCAATAGCTTCGATCTCTGCCTCTTCCTGTGTATATATATATATATATATATATTTATGTTGAGACATTTGATATCAGTCTCCACAGCATAAATGCCTTACCACCAGCTCACGACGAGCTCCCTGTTCAATGGTTTCTCCCTTTTCAACCTTGCCACCAAATCCTACATCGACAGTGAGCAACGAATCCAGCTGGGCATGCTTCTTTTGACGTACCATTGAATTTTCCTGCCCCAAAACCTCGTTTCTTCATACCCAATAAAACCTGTAATTCAGGTCAGTGTGAGATTTTTTCACTGCTAAAAACTAAATCCAGCATATATACTCTGTGTCCATCTTTGTCTATTGTAAGGACCAATGTCAATAACTTTTTGCTTGTAACCAGCGCCATATTGGGTTGAAGAAATGAAACTGAATCCGCAGTGAGCCTATTCGAGTGTGGGGCTAAACAGGCCATGTTGACAGCTGACTGCCTTTTTGATCTGTGGACATGCTATCAAGGTATCGAGGTGCACCTCAGCCATTCATAGTATTGGTATTTATCAGATATGCATGCTTTTCTTCAGCTGTCAAACACTTTGAGGATGGTATCATGAGCATCTACTGAAGCATTGTTGATAAGCGTATTATTCGTAGTTATCTCGTCGTCTCTTTTAATGACACTAGAGCTTGGCATTTGGCATTTGCAATGTTACAGTATTATGAATGTTCACAATAGCGTATTAGCAATGAGCTGTTTTGATACACAGAAATTCAGTAACAGAGTAATGACAGAAAGCTAGCGTTTTAATCTAATCAAGCACCAAAGGTATTCCTCCACCCGTGTCGCTTTTGGATCCTCCATTGCGACTTCCCATTTAGATATAGAGTCAAGCTCGACATCATTAAGGATTTGGTCTAAAACGTGCTGCAAAATGGAATAACTGTTGTGAATGGAGAATTTGAATCTGTAATGAGGCATTATTTTTAATGTATTGATCATTTCATTGAAAAAGCTTTGGTTAACGTTGTCCTCGAAATATACTTCAACTGACTTCAAGTTGTTGAAATGTGGTACAATCAATTTGACGCAGGCTCCCAGATTGGTACATACTCTCGTCTTTTTTAATGGTGCTTGTGATTGATTGCTGATCCAAGCTTTGAAGTCTATTAATCAATGTATTCGAGCTGTTGTAACTGCTTGATATATACAGTGTGAGCTCTTTGATCTTGGGCAATTCAACAATGATATTCAGCAGAGTATTCAACATATCAGCATTGCCAATGTCTACAGCAAATGAAACCATGTTTTGAAATTGAATCAAATATTTAACAGCCTTTCTCATACTATTTGAGCCTGTCCACAAAGTGTCGTCGAGATAAAGATTCCTTGAGCATAAACACAACTTCTTTGTATATAACGGCGTTCATTGCGGGATGTGGTATAGCCTGTAAACTGCATTCGCCATGCAAGTCATTTTTTATGATATTGATCATGATGTCCAAATAGAAATCATTGCAGCAATGGTGGCCTAGATGCTGTTCATGTTTCGGGTGAAGACCAACCTCAAAATACGTTTTTTCAATTCAGCATTAAAAGTGCCAGCACGTCCAAAGTCAATACTCTTGATTTTTTCTCTCGACGAATCCATTAGCAAATATTCATGAAATTTCCAAGCTTGTCCAACATGTGAAATGTCTATAGCTTGATTGGACATGGCGCTGATTGCGAACGTATTCCACAGTTTGCAGACTCCTCTACATCTGGCAAGTGTTCCTGCTGAACCAATAAATCGGAAGATGCTGATCAAGGCTTCACTTTGTAATATTGACCTATAAGGGGGGGTTTACCTTAGCGAAGCGAAGATACAAAACTATAGCATCCAAGCAGCCAATTCAGCTTTTTATTTCTATTATTATTAAGCCTACCAACAATATAACGCATCAAAATTTGCATGAATTGGCTTTACCAAAATCAACACAGCAAAAACACAACCAAACTTGACAACTTTGAAGCCTTCATATCTTGACATGTAGACCTTTATGAACCACCGGAATAACGCCAAACAAGTGTACTGAAGTAGTAGTAACATCCTGACACCTTTGCTCAACTTTTTGGGCCGAAAATCAATCAAAAAGGATGAGGTACCCCGGGGGTGGCTAACGTACCAACAAAAAATTTCCTTTTTTGCTTAACGTACCAACAAAATATGATTTCCTATAGACACACTTTGGTCCGGCAGCGCTTGTTTTGCCTGGCATTCTCTTTTTTTTTTGGATAACGTACCAACAACATATAATTTCCTATACACACTTTGATTAACGTACCAACAAAGTGTTCTTAGCGTACCAATAAAATATTCTTAGCGTACCAACAAAATAGCATTTCCTACTACAGACACACTTGGGCTAACATACCAACAAAATATCCTCTTCATTCGCCATACATTTTTTTTTCGATCCTGACATGTCAACTAAATCTAACAATGTATTTGATCTCTTGCATAAGACAAGTAGCCGATCGATCTAGCTACGCTGGATGACGGCGTTGCCTTGCGGGCTCTCGCCGAAGACATTTCAATTCAGAGACATCACATAAACCTTGGACATTCAATTAATAGTGAGAGATTATTGTCATTGCAAAAGACGCTTTTACAGGGAAAAACTCTGAACAAAAGTAAATATATACATATATTTGGACCAAGTAACTGTTCTTTCAAATATATGGTCTCCATTGGGTCAATATCGCAATTATCATTGTCATCATCAGAAAGGCATTCGGGTAAGCCTGCATCAGCGAAGCCTGCCAAAATCGATTCAAACTCAGCTAATTCTTTTGTTCAAGATTGGTCAGATTTTGTTCTTTTTCGACTTGATTAAACTCTTTTGCGAGATTCGACTATATGGATTGTGAAGATCACCCTACGCTTCCTAATACATTCCTGGAGTACTTTTCAAGACGCTTCCAATGGCACTAATTATAGTACGTGCTTTGAATCGAGAGAAACGTTTTGAATTAATATCATAACATAATAAAGGATTGTTGCTATTGGTGGTGAATTGGGTGAAGTTTCCAAGTTTCGAGTAAGATGAAGGGAAGCCAAGATAAATCGACCCCCATCAATGCCTTCTGAGATGTATTTGAGTGTGTAATGAGTGTTGAGGGAAATGATGCCGCAATGTTGAGTCCAAAGACTCGACTTGCAAGTAAATTGAGTGTTGAGTATGTCTATAAATGTGTTGTCTGTTGCATGTGTTTCTTGAAGCACTAAGATGTCATATCCTAATGTTCGAAGATATCTTATAAATTGTTGTCTTTTTTTGGTGTTATCTGTTTTTTTTAGGCCACGGCAATTGAGGGTGGCTATTTTCACTGTATTTTGCTGATTAATCATATTAATGTTGGGGAGGTGAAGGAGGGCCTGTCAAGCCGAGTTAGTTTCCAGTCTCTACTTCATTAGATGCAGCTTGTTGTTTGGCAGAACTAACATCATCCGCGCCATTAAATTTACCGATCTTCTTCGCAGGGCGTTCAGGGCGCTCCTCTCGTTCATTGGCAGAATGGGTAGAAGAGTCGTACATGACAATAGCATTGGAAGCCCCTTTCCCATCGACTTCTTTAACTTGGAGTTCTGGGAGATCATCCATTTGAACATCTTTATCCACTACCTGCTTTCTAGCACCTGTTTGATTATCAGCGTCACCTTGAGAGCTACCTTGCTGGGTAGCAGCAGCTCGATTATCGGAATCACCTTGGGGACGACCAGATGCACCATCTTAGCCTTTTCTTTGGGCACCACCTTTGTTTCCAACTGGAGCACTACCAGGAGTTACTTTGGAGTCACCTTGAGTACCCTTTTTACCCTCTTTGACCACCTGAGAGCCCTTTCGGGGTTTGGCAGGAGTGTTTTCCACCGCACGGACCTTGTTTGGGTTGTCATTGCGACTGCAGTTCTTCACCACATGTCCAGTTTCATTGCAATGGTGGCAGCGAACCCACTTCTTGTAGTCAGGACAATCAGCCCGACAGTGTTCAGAGCTCTGACAATTACGACAGAAAGCCGGTATTTGATCCCATTGGAGTAAAACTTTTCGTTGATCCGAAGCTGTCAAATCCCAGACAATGACACGGCTGAGTTTCTCCAAATGGCGATGACCAGGGCAAGATTTACCATCGAGATGTAACTCTTGACATTCATAACCAGGACTGGAAGGAACCGTTAGGTTAAGAGTAGCATAACCCTCTCCTTGATAGATCCCATCAGTTCTCGAGATGCCGTGATCCAAGACATCCCCGAACGCAGAAAAACGGGCAGCCATTTCCTCCTTCAACTGAAGGGCAGGCAAAAAAGGGAGATTCTCCAGAGTCAGTTTCACAATCGTAACATCAGCATGGTACGAGGCAAACCCTTTCACAAAAGTGCCATCTTCTAGAGTGATACCTTCTTCAATGAGAGTCTTACGACCTTCGCTGTTGGGCAGCCACATGGTTTCCAAGAAGGCATGGTTGAGGTAGTGTCGAGGTTGTTTCCTGTATCCAAGAAATTCTTCATACATGTCTTCAGCATTGGAGGATTCGTTGAATTGAAGAAGAGCCTTGTTCAAGAGATTGAGATCCTTGATAGGTGTCAGATCGACGAAGACGGAATCCTGTTCCATGCCTTTGAGGAATGGACGGATGACCGCCTGAGGTGGTGGCAAAGTATCCCCATTGATGGCCTGTTGCGAGGCTTCTGCTTCAGTAACAGGTCGTTTGGCGATGGTGGGGTTGAAAGAGACGATGGATTGTTGTTGTCTGTTGTTGCCTTTGCGGCGTGAGTTAACCACATGAGTCCACCACAGTGGAGCCGCAGTATCAGCTTGCGAGGAACATGGATGTACTTGACTAGTGTCTGACATGCGATAATTGCTACAAAGTAGATTAAAGAAGTCGACAAAAGACAAAATCTGACCAATCTTGAACAGAAAAAAAAAACTGAGTTTGAATCAGTTTTAGCGGGTGGCATTGCTGCTGGCTGACCTAAATGTCTTTCTGTTGATGACAATGATGATTGCAATGCTGATTAAATGGGGATCATGGAATTGAAAAGACAATTGCTTAGCACAAATGCTTAGCACAAATGCTTTTTTTGGGCTGATTTGCCTCATGAAGGCGTCTTTTGCAATGACAATATCTCAAAAAAGTCGCTGTAGATCTTACACAAGTCCTGTATGTACTTATGACCAGCTTTATTTTGTCATCTTATTAAGAGCATCAGCAGCAGTGAATGATATGACAGTTCTACTATCAGAAAATGGTAATTGTGATGTACAAATGCTGCATAAATCTTGAGTTTTCTTTCACATTGTCCTAATAATAGGCTTTGTTTGATATTAGTGTGAGCAAAAAAGATGCTGAGGAAGGTGCTTCCTCTCCTCCTCCTGATGGCTCTAATATAACTTTTCTTTTACTAGCTAATAATTGGTTGTTTAGAATCTACTTGACATACCAAAATGTTATAATATCTGACTTAACATGTCTTTGGCGAGAGCCCACAGGGCGACGTCGATATTGAGCGTAGCGAGATAGATCGATTAGTACTTTGTATACTCATTTATGAACTTTTCTCAATGATACAACGTGGAGCTTCGTACATGAGTCAGAACTACACAGATAAGTTGTTATAGAGAGCTTTTAGGTGGTACTGGTAGGTTAAAATGTGAAATGCTTGTGTATACCAGTGGATCTACACAGTTCTATGTACACCCATCAACACATACATTGTGTATCAGCACTACCTTTCCCTCCAATCAACAAAAGTTCAAGGCAATTCTAGCAATTACCGAGTCAGTCCCCAAACTATCTTGTGTCTACTCAGGTTACATGACTTAAGGAAGCATTAGATGCCACTCCCAATTCTGCACGGTGGCATTTTCTGATCTGATTCTTGTGATCACGGACCAGTTGCAACTGGCATTTTGTTTGATCGGCGATAATTCATATAAGAACAATAAGCTAGCCCGGCTAACTTTACCACCGGATTATACACATACTCATCGAGCTCTGCGTCACACACGCTCAGGTGTAGTAACAACACTACAACAAAATCAAACTGCATCCAGCATAGTCAATTCGATACACTTTATACAATGGCACCCTTCTACGCTGTAAAGTCGGATAACGTCCTCAAAAGAGTTGAAGGTGAGACGACTAGATGGATGGATGGATGGATTAGATGAAATTAACATTTGGGATTACGTTAGAACTTCAATCTGTTGGACAAGATGAAGCTGCTTTGCAAGCTCTTCACGAAGTCGTACTCTCCAAGCGCTCTCGTAGCAACCCCATCACAGTGATGGAGCCTATCATGCTCAAGTACGTTGAGCTCTGTGTTGAGCTCAAGAAAGGCAAGATGGTTAAGGAAGGTCTTCACCAATACCGTAATATCGCCCAAAACACCAGCGTCAACTCTATTGAAACCATCATCAACAAAATGCTTTCTCTCGCCGAAGAAAAGGTCGCTGAAGCTCGCGCCAAAGCTGATAAGATTGCTGTTGATGTCGATGATTTAGAAGCCTCCGAGACACCTGAATCCATCATGTTGAGCACCGTTTCTGGAGACCAAAGCAAAGACAGAACTGATCGCGCCGTTGTCACTCCTTGGCTCAAGTTCTTGTGGGAAGCTTATCGCACTGTGCTCGATATCATGAGAAACAACTCTCGTTTAGAAACACTCTACAATGCTGTTACACTCAAAGCTTTCCAGTTCTGTTTGACTTACGATCGCAAGACTGAATTCCGTCGTCTTTGCGAGATCCTTCGTAACCACTTTTTGAACGTTGCAAAGTACTCTCACCAACCTCATGCCGTCAACTTGAACGATCCCGAAACCCTTCAAGCTTATTTGGAGTCTCGTTTTGCCCAGTTGAATGCTGCTGCTGAATTGGAGTTGTGGCAAGAGGCCTTCAAGTCTGTTGAAGATATCCACACCTTGTTGACCACCTCAAAGCGTCCTCCCAAGCCCGTCATGATGGCCAACTACTATGAAAAGCTCACCAAGATCTTCATGGTCTCTGATGACTACTTGTTCCACTCTGCTGCCTGGAACAGATTCTCAGCTATCGAGCGTGTCGTCAACAAGAACTTGACTGATGATCAACAATCCCACATGGCTTCCATTGTCCTGTTGTCTGCTCTTGCCATCCCCATCATCACCACCACCAAGACCCGTCCTGGATATGTCGAAGCTGATGAATACCGTGTTCAAAAGTTGAACCGTCTCTCCATGCTCATGGGTTTGAACGCTCATCCTACTCGCACTGGCTTGTTGAAGGAAGCTCTCAACAAGAACATCTTGTCTCGTGTTCGCCCAGAGATCCGCGACCTCTACAACATCCTCGAAGTTCAATTCCATCCCTTGTCCATCTGCAAGAAGATCAACCCCATTATGAACAAGATCTCTGAAGATGCTGATTTGGCCAAGTATGTCCGCCCTCTTCACCAAGTCATCTTGACCCGTCTTTTGCAACAACTCTCTCAAGTCTATACCACTGTCAAGTTGGACTTTGTGTTGAATCTTGCTTCTTTCCCTGCCCCCTTCAACTATGATGCTGCCACTATCGAAAAGTTCATCATGAATGGTTGCAAGCGCGGTGAGCTCAACATCCGCATTGACCACGCCTCTCAGAGTCTCATCTTTGAGACTGATCTCTTTGCACCTCCCAAGGATACTGTCACTGAAGGCATTCAATTACAGTCTTCTCCTGCTGATTTGATGCGCACACAACTGTCTCGTCTTGGTGTCAGCTTGCATGCGGTTGTTCAAATGATTGATCCCTCTGTCAAGGAAAACGCTGTCAAGGCCAAGCAACAAGTCGTCCAACGTGCTTTAGCTGGCGCTGAGGAGGAACACAAGCAAGCTTTGGCTCGCAAAGTCATCATTGAACGTCGTAAGGAAATCATTGAGTCCGAGATTGCTCGCAAGGAAAAGCAAGCCGCACAAGAAAAGGCTGCTGCTGCTGCCAAGAAGGCCGAAGCTGAGAAGAAGCGTGTTGCTGAGGAAATGAAGCGTCGCGAAGAAGAGCGTCTCAAGCGTATTCAGGATGAGGTTCAACGTGATCAAGCCAAGCGTATTGCTGAAGAGATCAGCAGCAAGACTGGTCTCCAATTGAAGCCCGAGGAAATTGAGCAATCTGACGTCAAGACCTTGTTGGACTTGAAGGTATCTCGTCTCCAAACCGAGCAAAAGGAATTGAGCGATCGTCTCAAGCAAATCAGCAAGCGTATCGACCACACTGAACGTGCTTACAGAAAGGAAGAAATTCCTCTTTTGGAGAAGGATTACGAGCAACAACAAAAGACTGACAAGGCATTCTATGAAGCTTCTCGCAAGGCTGAATTAGCTGCTTCTAAGGCCAAGTTTGAAGAGAACATGAAGCTCAAGACTCGCTTCTCTCGCATCATTGTCGATTATAGAACCTACAAAAACAAGATCGAAACTGCTCGCAAGGAAGCAACTGATGCCAAGCGCAAGGCTGCTGATGAGGCTATCGAAAAGGAGAAGCAAGAGAGAATCGCTGCATGGCGTGAAAAGAAGGCTGAAGCTGATAGAATCCGTGAGCAAGAGCAAGCTGAAAAGATTCGTCGTGAGCAAGAGGAGCGTGAGGCCGCTGAGGCCGCTGAGAAGGCTCGTCTTGAAAAAGAAGAGAGGCTCGCCAAGGAGAGAGAAGCCAATGCCAAGGAACGCGAGAAGCTTGATGAGATTGCCAGAAAGCAACGTGAGCGTGATGAAGAAATCGAGCGTAAACTTGCTGCTGAGAAGGCTGCTGCTCTTGCCAAGGTCAGCGCTCCACCTGCTAGAGCTGCTTACACTCCTAGTGCTCGTAATGCTGAATCTGGTGCTTCTGCTGGTGGATGGAGATCTCGTGAAGCTGGTCGTGCTGCTGCATCTGGTGGTGCTCCTAGTGCCTCTGAAGGTGGTGCCTGGCGTAGTGTTAGCCGCCCCTCCAACAATGATCGTTTCGGTCGCGATTCTGACCGTCGTGATGGTGGCAGTTTTGGTGAGCGTCGTGGATTCGGCGGTGAGCGTCGCGAAGGTAGTGGCTTTGGCGGTGACCGTGAGCGTCGTGATGGCGGCAGCTTTGGCGGTGACCGTGAGCGTCGTGATGGTGGCAGCTTTGGCGGTGACCGTGAGCGTCGTGATGGTGGCAGCTTTGGAGGTCGCCGTGAGGGTGGCAGTTTTGGCGACCGTCCTCGTGGTGGTAACAGAGGTGCTGGTGCAGGCTCTAGTAACACTGACAGAAAGTGGTAATTCCTTTTCTCAGTCATCCGTGAAAAATAAGTTGGATAGACATAAGCTCTATCTTGCTCTTTTTGTTACAATTTAGTACATTTTGTTGTTTTTTCTCTTTAATAAATCGATTCCATTGTATTTTTTACATTTAATACTAGCTGGCTTGGCTCATGATAATAGGGAAACGGAGCACATTGATGCAGCAGGGTCCATGCTTTAGCGTAGCATCGTGTTAATGTTCAATTCCCAGAGAAGGCCACTGAATCCCCAGGGTCGAGCACTAGAGCAATGTTACGTCAATGTACAGTAAGAAGGATGGCCGTTAAGCTATTTATGTGAACATGGACTAAACGTCATTCAATACAATTCATTACACGAAGAGGAAGTGGATAGTAGAGAGCATATAGAAAGATGTGTTATGGACGGATTTATACCACAAATAAATGTATGTTGTATCACAGTTGCTTGTCATACAAGACAACAATGAAATGAAGGCATTATTGTATACATATACGATAGTATGATGTCTAAATATCTGAGCTTCCCCGCCTCCCTTCTTTTTCAGCATACTGCCACAACAACCCCCTTAAACACACACACACACTCTCTCTCTCTCTCTTTTGCCAATACCAAAAGCCATTTGCCATGCAATTGTTCTTAATCACATATAGCTTGTTTGTATTGCTGTCTAGTCCAAACGTCAATATACAAGAGAAGAGGGCAAACGTGCCCCCTTGAATCACACAATTACACAGAAAAAAAGTTACTTGACATTGGCTGCTCCCTTCTCCTTTGCTTTTTTGGCTTCAACTCACCCCTTGAAAGTCAAGATAAGCCCATTCAGATTGATTCTAGATTGTCTTACATCTGAACAGAACGATCGCACGATGGCAGAGAATCTTTGTTATGAATGCAGTCTACTGGATTATTAGATTCAGTCATGATAGAGGCAAACAAACGTTACAAAGTTTCTCTCCTGACGTGAAATTCCCCTTTTACCTATTATGATCTTTTTTTGATTTGAACCCCCCCCCCCACCTCCTTCTCCTCAACATTCCCAATTCATTCAAAACCGAATAATTAGTATTTTACAGATCACATAGAAATCATTGTTTATAAAAAGGATGATCGCTTTGATTTATTTAACTGCATTTCTTTCTTTCTTTTCCTTTTTTTTTTTTTTTTTTTTAAAAAAAAACAAAGAATAGACATCAACATTGAAGCACCAGTATGTCACAGTTAGATAATTGCCGTATCCGGAAGTCATCGGGAACAAATCCGAATCAATATGAAGACAACAGCAGCAGCAAAAACTTTAGCCCAAACTTTTACAATCCTTTCGAAGTCAAGCACAGAAGACGCACTTCTCGCACTCAATTCAAAATTCTAGAAAAGGCATTTAGCAGCAACCCAAAGCCCAACAGTAAGATCAGACAGGGTTTGGCTGAGAGTCTGTCAATGACACCTCGAGGTGTGCAAGTGTGGTTTCAAAACAGGAGAGCAAAGGAAAAGCAAGTGAGCAATCATGTCAAAAAAGAAGCCTCTCATCCGCCCAAGCAGCAACATTTGAACTATGCGCCAATTACACTGTCTGCTTCCAACATGGTTCATAGCAGATCACAATCGTCATCGTCTTCATCTACAAACAAGCCTTGGATCAGCGACAATTCAACTGTAAATGATGAAGAAGAGGAACTCACAACCATCAATACTCCACCAAATAATCAATCTTCCCAGATCCCGTTGGAAGGAGATACTGAATGGTGGCTAAGTCATGCTGGTAATACGGCACCTTTCATCCATCACCAGACCACAGCGGCAGCAGCAGTGACTAAAGCTGATCCTGTTACTACAACCATGTCTTCTGCTGACAGCGCTGTTAATTTGAATGCATGGCCAGCTACCAGTACTTACTTTAGTCAGTCATTTTTGCCAATGACAGATATTCATAGTATGGCAAGTCATGATTGCACCATGAGATCTGTGCCTAATAACAGCAATGTCGTTGATTGGATCCAATCCACACAAGTGATGAATGACAACTTGATTTTGGATGATATGCTGAATGACAGTAGCAGCAAAAACTTCAACATGTCTCACAAACGATACTCTTATCCTCTGTCAATGCCACTTCAACAGGACGAGACATATTGGACCGGGCAGCAGGTAATCTTCATCAGCTTATGCTGTGCAAACATGGGCTAATTTTTTTTTTTTTTTTTTTTTTGATAGATTATGCGTCGCCTTTCCGAACCTAGTCAAGAGACATCCGAGCTTGAACTGATGGACCCCTATAACAACACTAACATTCAGCAATGATAATGTGAATATCATCTTATATGCTTCACCCCTTACTTTTTTTTTTTAACAGACAATATGCCACTTTTGATGAATCTCCTTTAACGCAAACTTTATTTCTTATACTTTCTTTATATACATGCTTATGCTACTTCATTTGCCACAAGCCCCGGCCGGGTCCTTCAACTATGTGTATTCTCAATTTTACCGAGCATCTATTCTGTCCCCTTTATTTTTATTTTTTTTTTTTTTAGTATGATGTGCTGTAATTATTCTTTCTGAACTGTGTATTGCATAGCTATATGCAGTGTACTCTGTCTCTCTCTTATTATTTCTCTGCTTTTAATTGAATACATTTGAATAAAGTGAAATATATAATCATCGAGTTGTGATATGACGTATTTCAATGTCAAGAATCCACAAAAAGGGTACAAGTTGCATCCATGGAACACATTTAGGAGTTACATGCTATACTAAGAAGTCCTTCTCCTTATCCCTTTTACAATAACTGAAGAAACCAAGTCTAAATCAATATTTCAGCTGTAGATGCTGTTTAACATTGGACTGTATACTCAGTTGATTTTGGTTTTCATGCAATATACCTATTTGATGTGGTACCAACTCCAAAAAAAAAGAGTCAAATAATACGCTTGCGTGTTCCAACGAGCACCTAGTTTCCTTTTCATTTCATCCAAAATGAGCATTTCAAACGACACCAAAAAGCAACAACTTCGATGGATCCCCCTTGAGTCCAATCCTGAGGTAAGCGGTTCCCTCCTCGCATCTGAATATGTCAATTGAAGTATCGCGCCATCAATATAGATATTAAACAAGGTAGACGTTGCGCAGTACGTAAGACGCCTCTATCTAGACTAATTTATGCCATCATAGATGATTCATAATCATGGCGTTGATTGCAAATGGGGGTTTATAGACATTTATGGTATGTAAAACGCATGACTTGTGTACAAGACAGACTATTCTCATTTGTTCAACAGGATTTGACGATGATGCATTGGCTGTGATCCCACGACCTGCCACAGCCATCATCTTCTTGTTCCCAGGAAGTCCAGCATATGATGAATTCCGGGCAAAAGATGAAGCACGTCTTGCGTTGAACAAGCAAGCCATCAGTGACAATGTCATTCATTTCAAACAAACAATCGAAAATGCATGTGGTATGATTGCACTGTTGCATAGCTTGTCAAATAATCGCCAGATCAACGGTTTGTTTCGTCTCCTTAAAAAAGCTCCTCTTTTATAATCATAAAATACGTAGGCGATGGATTGTTTAAACGTATCTTTGATGCAACTCGCGAAATGACATATGATAAACGTGGTGAATATTTGGAGTCTTGCTCCGAATTGGCAAACCTTCATCATGAAAGCGCTTGCTCTGGTCAGAGTTATGTGAGTTTTTTCGAGTGTTACCTTTCCCTTTTAGTAGACTGAAGCAATTTGAATCATGTAGACTCCAGATATTGCTGATCCTTGCTCAAATCACTACATTAGCTTTGTAGAAGTAGATGGAGAAGTTTATGAATTGGATGGTGGTAGACCGCTTCCTGTGAATCACGGAAAGTGTAATGATTTTATACAGGTAATCATAGAGCTATGAAAGTGTAGTGATAGTATATTCAATTTGTTTGATGATAGGACACTGCCAAAATCATGCAATCATTCATCGAAAGGGACCCAGAATTCAATGAATATAGCGCAATTGCACTTGCTAAATTGAAGGAATAGGTACTGAATAGTAGCTGTAACCACTGTTTTAAGCGTCAATTTTTGCTGATATCAATAATAAAAAAGGCTAGTATTACTGAACCCCGTAAGGTCCAATATAGCAAGCACCCTTTTCAATTATGATAAGCATTTGAGTGATTGACTCAAACTATATGAATGAGCTACAAGGTATCCACACAGTTTTCATATCATATGAAAATTGACCGCTCCTTCTCTTCTCTTAAGGTAAAAAGCAAACTTTTGATGCCTTTTCGGTGGAACTGTGCTTAGAATGGTTCCTTGATTTCAGGATTGAGTATTCAATTCTATTTGAATCGTGACAAGAGTTTACATAGTAGCTAATTGAATGTTATGATTCATTTCGCATGTTTTATCAATTGTATCGCAAGACAATTAGTGAGGAAAACGCAGCTCAAATGCGCTCAGATTTTGTTGTATCAGGGACTCTAAGGACTAAGAAGGGGAAAATCAGAGTGCATTTGAGCTGCGTTTTCTCGCGTTCAAGGCCGTGTTAGATGGTCAGAATAGCACCAAACAATTGCTCTCATCTGGCAGCTACTTATTGCCACTATTGCTCAACTTTTTGAGGTCCAAAAAAACAAGGACAAAATTCGACCAAAAAGCGACCTGTTGCGTACCACACTGTACTCAAAAAGAGTTACATGTTACATTAAACAAAGTGCGCAAATTTAACTATTACAGAGTTCAATCAGATTTCCCCCAACATCATGGATTTTTAGTCCAATGGAAACGTTGTTCATTTCAACCCATGAATACCTTTCTCGCCTACATTCATTTACACCTCTGCCCACTTTTATATACATCTCTGCCCACTTTAAGATACATCTCTGCCTACATTTAAATATATCCCTGCCTACTTTTATATAAATCTCTGCCTACGTTTATATAAATCTCTGCCTACGTTTATATATATCTCTGCCTACGTTTATATATATCTCTGCCTACGTTTATATATATCTCTGCCTATTATCAAATACACCACTGCCTATATTTATATATACCTTTGTCTACATTTATATATACCTTTGCCCATATCTAAATACTTCTCTGCCTACTTTCTGCCCACTTTCATTAACATCTCTGCCTACTTTCATTAACATCTCTGCCTACGTTTATATATATCTCTGCCTACGTTTATATAAATCTCTGCCTACGTTTATATATATCTCTGCCTATTATCAAATACACCACTGCCTATATTTATATATACCTTTGTCTACATTTATATATACCTTTGCCCATATCTAAATACTTCTCTGCCTACTTTCTGCCCACTTTCATTAACATCTCTGCCTACATTTAAAGACATCTCCGCCTACTTTCATATGCATCTCTGCCAACTTTCATATATGCCTCTGCCCACATTTAGATACATCTCTGCCCACTTTTCTGTGTGCCTCTGCCAACTGTCATATATGCCTATGCCTACATTTATTATGGCTTCGTTGTATTATTCGTCAAAGTAGCTGCTTAGTACAGTGATTGTCGGCATTTAAGCTGCACTTCTTAAATAAGCATAGGTTTTTTGCCATTCAGAACCTAGTTGATAATTAATGTTGGACAAAAGCGATGTTACGCAACTGTGGAACAACTCAAATTCTTATAGAACATTTTCAAGGAGAATGACGAGGTGTTGTCTGTTTATCATAAGGGAGAAGCACAAACGGGTTTGTACCATTTTTGAAATCTTCGCATGCTTCTATTTATGAATTGATCTCGCTTCATGCATGCGTTGTTAAAGCTGTGGATCATATTTTCTGTTGATAAGCCGTTGCAATTATACAGTTCTCGTTAAGAGCAAGCCATCTTTATAAATACATTTGAGATTTTCTTTGCTTTTGTTCTTTCTTTCTTTCTTTATACATTAAAATGAGTAAATTGATTAAAAACTATTTTGGCGCCTTAGAAGGAGAGATGGATTACGCGAGCCAGCAGACTGGTCGTGGTTCCGATGATGAATCAATCATTGAACAAGATGCTGGGGACGTTTGGAGTGATAACAGCGACGGCACTCGCCTAACTGTAGAGCCTGAAGATGAAGATGAAGATGAAGACGCAGATGAAGACAAAGATGAAGACGAAGATGAGGATGAAGACAAACACAGTCATACTGAGTCGTTCTTCATGTATGGAAGTGATGATGAAATCTTATTAAGACCATTATTCCAAAAAGTGGATCTCTTGATAAATGATTTCGCTGAAACAAATGCAGCCTTCACCAAAGACCAAGTGAAGCGATACCTTGGAGCACATGTGTGCTACGAGCATCACACAAAATTCATTGGAGAGTTCAAGCCTCCCCAAGCAATCAAGACAAAGCTCAGTGGCTGGAGTATGTATCAGAAGGAACATACTCAGGGCAAAAAAATTCTGAAATCAGAGCGCAAAGCCCATTTGCAGCAACTTGGAGCCCAATGGAAGGCGCTTAGTGCAGAGCAGCAACGGCCATACAAACTAGAGGCAGAGGAAGAGAAGAAGCGGTCCTCGAACATTGACATGTTGGCCAAGTACAAGTCTTTTGATAGACATTGGAAACAATTTCGCAGAAGTGCAGATTTCTTCAGAGAGAATTATCGCACACATTTGATGATTTACCGAGCAACTGACACCATTTATGATAAACTCTACGTACCATTGTATCAGCCAAATTCTGGTACAGTAAATCATTTTTTACGGTCGGTTATAAGGACATTCGTTAACATGTATGTCATAGATGAATCAAAAGAAGCCTTTAAACAAATCGATGAAACGCTGCCATCGATGAGTATCATCGGTTTTCTGGAAAGAGAGATGCGAAAAACTCGTATTACCCCAGGTATGTATTACACTGGTTTTTCAATGTCTAAAATTGATAATTTTTGGCAGGTAATACGAAGGCTCCCCATGCTGCTCACACTCCCCATGCTGCCCACGCTGCCCACACTCCTCACGCTGCCCATGCTGCTCACACTCCCCATGCTGCCCACGCTGCCCACACTCCTCACGCTGCCCACGCTGCCCTCACTCCCCTCGCTGCCCATGCTGCCCTCACTCCCCACACTCCCCACACTGCTACTCGCAGGTATCCCAAAATCCTGAAGGACTCTGATGACGATTATGACTCTGATGGCTCGTTCCAGGATGGTGATGATTCACGAGAGGATAATGAAGCACGAGGTTCTCAAAAAAGGCCTGCTGCAGCAATTTCAACACTGGACGATACACCAACGATCGCTGGATATTTTGCAGCTATTGCGCCTGTTCCTTCGAACTTTTCTTCCAAATCATCGAATGCTCTACTGGCTGCCTTTGATCCGAGCAATAATGCCATTTCAGCTGACCTTGTTCAAAAATCAAACAAGAAGCTTCGTGGAAGCAAAGAGCAAGATATCAAAGATTTACGAGTCGTAGCCAAAGATGCCTGGTGTGAGTATCGCACATCTAACCAATCCATGTAATTCATTTCTAATAATTTTTATAGCAAAGGCAATTGGCTTGTCTGACGAAAAAAAAGTGGCTCCTAGTTGGAAGAAGGTGTTTACGAAAACTAAATATCGTGATGGTCATGTGTATGGTCTCGTTGGATGGCCAGAGGACTTGCCATACCCAAAAACAAACCGCAAGGGCAAAGTTGATCATGATATTGAGGGTTTATCTACTGATGATGCAAAGAGGGTTTTAAAAGGCTTTCGCGATGGTGTTATTGACTTTAAAAGGCTCAATTGATGTGGTTTGCGTGTAATGGTCATTTGTAGTTGAAGTTGTATATCGAGTGTCGCCATCTTTATTTTGTTAATTGAATAAATGCTTTACAAAGACAGTTGATTAGCTTGGATGTAGTTTTGTATATGTGTTTATAAAGTGGTAAAAAGACGTAAATTCGAAAAAAAAGGGGGATTGTTAATTTAATATTGCGTGTATCTATATATACTTTGGGCCAGCACTCCTTTAATAAATGTTGCACAGATTATTAAAATGTATCACCTTGCTGATCAAAAGTGAGGCTTTCTTCAATAATTGCAGTCAACTGTTTTCATCTTTTTTATCAACGCTTCATTTCCAATTTACTTTTGATTGATCAAGATACATCATAAAATCAGTAGAGCAGCATTGCCATCCCATTTCATCATCCTCTTGCTGTCTAGCATTCAATTTCGGCGGTGTTGTATGGTCACGATATACGATTATTTGGTATGAGCTTTACCTAAAGCATAATGCGAATTTTGAAGTCAATCAACAAATAGACCACAACGTATAGATATTTTGATAGTCGCTGGAGGAGCTGGCACTTGAAAAACAGATCATACACAATATAGAATTGAACCTTGATCAAGATTGACGCATCTACAAAAGGGATTTCGTACTCGAGTACTTGTTCCGTGTGTTACACTTTTTAGTGTAAACAGATTGCTGATTTTATTAGCTTTATCCATTCCACGTACAGTATCAAGAGGATTTCATTGGACTTCTGGGGCGAACACAAAATGAAGCATGGGAATTATAGGCATTGCAGTCAAAATACCCTCTGGAATTCGTCATTTTCATGTTCGTTCCTAAATTTCATCATTCGATTTCAACAAAAGATTGAACTCAAGAGAGGGTTGTCTAATAAGACGAATAAAAAACTCTTCTGAGACGAAAGCTTGCCACTTTAAATCAAGCTATATGTGGTTGAACAAGAGTAAGTATGAGTCTTCCTTCAAAATATATACAACGAAAGCCGAGACAAGGGTATAACATCACAAACAGTGTCACCACTACCGTCTATATGACAGATATTACTATATTGCTTTATTAGCCAATTTATGGACCCTGCTACGACAATTCCATTGACTATACAGGTTGTTCAGTGTTTGAGACCATTAATCATTAAAAACTCAAGAAGCGCGTCGAAACCAAGTGCTGAATTTTGCTCTATTACTACATTATACAAAGACATAGATTCCCGTCAGCAAAATATACATGATACAAATTGCAAAAGCTGATTAACGCACAAAGGA